TAAAGCATGAGTTCTGTGACACTGCTGGCTTTCCCATCTGTAGTGGGAGCTGCAGATGATGTGTCAGCACTTAGCGGCCTGTGACCTACTGTCTAATGAGCAATGGGGAAAATTGGCTCTACTTGACAAAATTCTACTTGGGATGTATGGTGTTGAGATACATAAAATTATGAATGTAATCATCCTTTGCTCAGAATAACTTTAAAATCTTTGCTAATGATTCAGTTCTTTCACAATCATGACATCGCTAAACATGATTTATGATTAAGTAGCAAGCTGGGTTTCGGATCCTCATGAAAATGTAGAGTCATTGCTGATGGGAATGTGGAATGGTACAACTGATTTGGAAAACAGTCTGGCAGATCTTCAAAAAGTTGAACATTACCATACAACCCAGAAAATCCAGTCCTACATATATAACCAAAAGAATTGAAAACATATGTTTATGCAAAAAAAATGTGTACATAAATGTTTATAGTAGCACTATTTACAATAGCAAAAGGTTGAAACAGCCCAAGTGTCCACCGATAGATGAATGGATAAACAAAATGTGGTCTATCCATAAATGGAATATTACTCAGGCATGAAATGGAATGATACATGCTACAAAATGGACAAACTTTAGAAACTTTATGCCAAATGAAAGAAACCAGACACAAAAGCCCACAAGTTGTACAAATCCATCTAAATATAATGTCCAGGATAGGCAAATCTATAGAGACAGAAAGTAGATTAGTAGTTGCTGGGAGTTGGGAGAGGAGGAATGGGGAGTGATGGCTAATGGGTTCAGGGTTTATTTGGGGGTGATGAAAGTTTTGGAATTAGATGGTGGTGATAGTTGCAGGCTTCTTCTCCCTGGCTCCTGAGTCAGCTGGCTGGGTTGCACTGATAGGACACTCTGGAGGGAGACTGGATGGTGGGAGAAAGGTTTGAGAATTTCTTGATCTCTTTCTCTGCCTCAGGCAACACATACTATGGGATACAATTCCCATAATAAGGATACTATGCAGTAAGATTTGGAGGAAACTGGCAGTTTCCAAATTAATACAGAGAATTGATTCCACAGGTAATGGAAGATCTAAGAAACCAAACAGGGATAGAGATTAGCAATAACAAGATGCTGCTACTCCCAGGAGGGAATGGACAAAGAAGGAGGTGATGGCCGGGCGCAGTGGCTCATGCCTGTAATCCTAGCACTTTGGAGGCGAGGCGGGCAGATTTTTGAGGTCAGGAGTTTGAAAACAGCCTGAGCAAGAGCGAGATCCCGTCTCTACTATAAATAGAAAGAAATTAATTGGCCAACTAATATAGACAAACTTAGCCAGGCGTGGTGGCGCATGCCTGTAGTCCCAGCTACTCGGGAGGCTGAGCAGCAGGATTGCTTGAGCCAGGGGTTTGAGGTTGCTGTGAGCTAGGCTGACACCATGGCACTCACTCTAGCCTGGGCAACAAAGCAAGACTCTGTCTCAAAAGGAAAAAATAAAAAAGAAAAAAAGAAAGAAGGTGATGACCAGCTAGAACTCCAGCTTACAGGGGCTAGGGAGAGGGGAGAATGGGGAATTATTGATAATGTGTATGGGTTTTCCTTTTGGGGTGATGAAAAAGTTCTGGTACTAGATAGTAGTGAAGGTTGCACATCATTAGCACTATGAGCAATGGCTTTGACTGGTCTTGACAAGCCAAGACTGGCTTTGACTAGCCAGTCAAAGCTATGATTGGCTTTAACCAGCTGTGACAGGCTTTAACTGGCTGTGATGGGCCTTGGCTGGTTGTGATTGGCTGTGACTGGCTTTGACCAGCCTTGACTGCCTTTGCTCAGCTGTGACCAGTGTTGACCAGTGGAGACTGGCTTTGACTGGTCTTGATTGATTGTGACCAGCTGTGACCAGTCTTAACTGGCTGTGGCTGACTTTGATTGGCTTTGACCAGTCTTGGCTGATGGTCTCTGACCATGCGCCTGCTGCCACCTGTCCAACCATACATCCAGAACTCAGGGGCTGTATGGCATTGGGTGGGGAAGGAGGCAAGGAGAATGGGGGTAGCCCACTTGGAAAGGGGCCAGGAGAGGGTTTGCCTGGGAAAGCTCACTGGCCAGCTTCTGGGTCAGAACCAGGGGGCCACCTCCTTAGATTCAGAACCAGGGGATTCTGACCCAGGCCAGCTCTCTTCTTGTCTCACCAGTCATGCCGTGTATATATTTGTGTCCTGTTTTGTCTGATTATGCTTGATTCTGTTGCTGTTTGCAGATTGGCCTTATTCTCTCTTCCTACAGATTGACATTTTTCAGGCAGCAAGGAATATGGTATCTATAGCCTTGCTTAGCAATCTCAGGAGAAAGAGAGCTCTTCATTCTCCAGAGTCCACATAACAATTCCAGAGAATGATCTGACTGCTTCTGCTAGGGCCACACGCCCCTCCCTATATCTGGAGGGGCATGTCCTGAAATTTTGTGCAAATTAAAGACAACACATCTGTGGGGAGGACAATAGAGCATGCTGTGCAGACAAAATAAATAAACCAAAGTCCGCTGTAAGTTATAAAGCGCTGCTTCCTTTACCACCTTGGAGGGCTGCTTTGAAATGTTGGTGTAAGAAAGGCCAGTCACCCATCTGTAACAGCAAGTCCTTACTAGTCTCCTGGAGACAGAGACAGTTTATCAGGGGAACTTTTGAATAGTTCTCTGTGACAATATTTTTCCACTATGAGGTCAAGTACCTGGTTTATACGTATATTCACTGCTGTTTCCCTAGGACTTAGCACAATGTCTAGCACATAGTAGGTACTCAAAAATATTTGTTGAGTGAAAGTTAAGGATTTGCCACACAGCTGACTCAAAGGAATCTTGGCAATAATTGAGGACATACTAAATGCCAGGTACTCTTGTGTTAAATGGAAACAGAGGATGCAAAGATTGAAAAAGCAAAAACAAAATCTGCTTCCCACCCTTGAGGCACTCACAGTTCATCAGATGAGGTAATTACTTGTGCAAGTCAATGGTATTCAATCACACATGTAATAAATAAAGTGTTATAAAAATGGCCACATGATCTCTAAGAAGATGGAATACATTCTGAAGAGTTAAAATGTTTTGGGGGTTTTGATAATATCTATCCAATATTTAAAATCAGATATGTACAAACAGAAAAGTTTAAAGCAGGAGTTACCAACTCAAATATGGATGGGTGAAGCTGGCTCAGTGGGTAAGGCAGGGTGAGTGGGTGAAGTGAGCTGCCTCTTAAGAAACAACAATGAATGATGAGGTTTGTAGTGAGTTGGGGATGGCATGCCCTGAATAAAGGTGGCTCTTGCTGTTCATATCTAGTCAATTGTTATTATATAGAAATAAACTGCACTGCTGAATTTTCTAATTTTTCAAGTTAAGCGGGAAATGTAGATTTTTGCTGGCTGAAATATCCTAAATTTTAAGTGTTGGCAAACACTATGCACGGCAAATGAAACGTAGCTCATGGATCTGTGTGGTTTAGAGGTCGCTAGCTTGCAACTTCTGGGCCAGGTGTTTGCCCCTTTTGATCCCCAGCACCTAGAGCAGAGCCTTGAAGATAGTAGGAGCTTAGCATATATTTATTGAATAAAAGGATGAATGAATGACTTGAAAGACGTACCAAGTTAGAGTAAAAGCGTTATTTAGGATTTTATGAAATTACTTTTCCTCCTTACATTCAGTAAGTGTTCCTATTCAGGATTTTAAAGTTGAATAGAAGTTTATTTCAAAAAGACCCTTTGTCAACTTTTATTCTATATTGTAATATACCCAATATACAAAAAGAAGGTGGGTGTGGTGGCTCATGCCTGTGATCCCAGCTACTTGGGAGGCTCAAGTGGGAGGATTGCTTGAGGCAAGGAATTTCAGACCAACCTGGGCAACATAGCAAGACCCCGTCACCTCTGACCCACCCAAAAAAGAAGACCCTGAGAGAGCTTTGAGATTGTAAGTATGCTTTTTCATAAAAACAGAGGGGTGGTATAAAAATAAACTGAGGCAAAGAAAGAGGTCGTTTAAGTGAGTATTAAATTACCTGCAAAAAGCCAGCCTTTCCTTTTATAAATAAAGGACAGTTGCATAATTATTGTGTATGCTAACAAAAATGTACAGAATTCTGAAGATACGGAAGTTGGCTTGAATACAACTCCTGAGTAGCTGGGACTGCAGGCACATGCCACCATGCTGGGCTAATTTTTCTATTTTTAGTAGAGACAGGGTCTCACTATATATATATATGCCGGCATGCCTGTAGTCTCAGCTGCTTGGGAGGCTGAGACAGGAGGATCGCTTGAGCCCAGGAGTTTGAGGTTGCTGTGAGCTAGGCTGACCCCAGGGCACTCTAGCCCAGGCAAGATCAAGATATATATATACATACATACATATATGTATGTATATATATTTTTTTTAGTTGTCCAGCTAATTTCTTTCTACTTTTTTTAGTAGAGACGGGGTCTCGCTCTTGTTCAGGCTGGTCTCGAACTCCTGAGCTCGAACAATCCTCTCACCTCAGCCTCCCAGAGTGTTATGATTATAGGCGTGAGCCACCACGCCTGGGCATATTTGAATTGTTTTTAAATTAAATGAACAAACCAGATACGGTGGCCTGGGCCTGTAGTCCCAGCTACTGGACGGCTAAGGGAGGGGAATTGCCTGAGCACAGGAGTTCTCCACCCTCACGCCTGTGAACAGCCATTGCACTCCAGCCTGGGCAACATTACAAGACCTCGTCTATAAAAAAAAAAAAAAATTTTAACTGAACAAATGGGCAGCCCCTCAGTCTCTTCAACCGCAGACCCCAAGCATCATCCACTCTCCCTTTCATCCTCCAGGTCCTCTGGGAACCTGCTCTCCTTCGCAAGAGTTTCCGTAGGGAATGTTTTTTGTTGCACCGCCTTTGCCCCACCGCGCACCGCACTCTTGAACATTCTGATTGGCTGTAGCGCTCTCATGTGCTCTGACGGGCTACTCTGATTGGCCGATGGCGTGCAGCGAGCTCGAGGATGCCCGTTTCCTGAGATATGGCCGTGGCGGGCGGAGACTTCAATGCGGTTGTGTGGTACCCTGAGGTGAAAGTGGGGCGCGGCGTGCGGCGGTGTCCCGGGACTTAGTCTCGGGACGTTATGGCCAGCGTCCACGAGAGCCTCTACTTCAATCCAATGATGACCAACGGGGTGGTGCACGCCAACGTGTTCGGCATCAAGGATTGGGTGACGCCGTATAAGATCGCGGTGCTGGTGCTGCTGAACGAAATGGGCCGCACGGGCGAGGGCGCCATCAGCCTCATGGAGCGGCGGAGGCTCAACCTGCTGCTCCTGCCGCTGCTGCAGGTGAGAGGCGCCAGTTGACTCCCTCTCATTCAGCAAACTTTTACTGAGCACCTGTTCTGTGCTGGACACTGCTCAGGGCCTGGAGGAATGAGGGTCATCAGATACTATCCCTGCCCTGGAGGAACGTGAAGAAATAAAGATAACTAATACCGCCAGCTAACACTTATTAAGCATTTATGGTAGACCAGGCGCTTTACATGCATGTTTCTTAGCAGGTTCACGTCTGGCGCCAGTATTTATTAGCTGAGTGGCAGGGAGACAGTTATATTCTTAGATCCTCCGTCTTCCGTAAAAGGGGCTACACATAGTCTTGAGCGTTGGATACTCATAGTTGAATCATACAGGTTCCCTACCCTAGTGGATCGCAATAAATAGTAAAAATGACATAAAACTAACAACGAGCATTGATTGAATACTTAATGTGAGCTAAGCACTTGGTGTGTTGTTTCATTTTCAGACTCAGGTGGTAGCACCACTGCCACTCAGGCAAGTTCCTTAATCTATTTGGGTCTCAGCTTTCTCTATGTATAATGGGAACAATAATAGAAACTATGTTATTAGCACATAGTAAATGCTCAATCAATGTTAGTTGTAATAATATTTTCATTTGAATGTGTTCCTAGAGGGCATATACCTTCCCCTATCAATCATGGTTTTTCCCTTTATTTGTGCGATTATGTGATTGATGTCTCTCTCCCCCACTGGACTGTAACCTCCCATTTTTGTTTGCCCTTATACTCCCAAAACCTAGTACAGTGCCTCAGTAGTTATTTGTGAAATGAATGAAATGTGATATGCCTTCCTCAGAGTGGATGAGTGTACTCATGTGAATGGAGAGGACTTCTTAGAGAAAGGGAGGTGTTAAGCTGGGCCTTGGAGGTTGAGCAGTTGTCTGTTGAGGAACTGGTGGCAGAAACAGAGCTCTGGGGTCCTGGGCCCCCAAATTATATAATCTTAAGAGGTAAATCTAACACAATTAGTATTCAGAGTTGCATTTCTGCCCTTCAATATAGTTTATAAAGGATTTTAAAAAAATCTTCTCTTGTTAAGAGTCTCCAGATCCAAACGGGAAGTATAGTAAAGAAAAAACTAGATAAAAAGAAAAAAAAATTGTAAAATTCATTACTTGTGTTTGTGGGAGAGGGGAATGGGAGGAAGAGGGAATGGAGGACACTGTGGTTAAGAGGCTTGCCCTGTTAAATAAAAGGGGCACTGTCTTTAACTTGTAGCTCTCCGTCCTAGCCACATTACTATTATTATAAGTGCATTTCCCTCATTATTAAAAAAACGTCATAATACTAATATTTTGGTAAATAGGGAAAAGAAACAGTAATGCTAGTGTCTTAACTCTCACCTTCCTGCCTTGCTCATGCTATTTTTTGCTATCTGGGATTCTCCTCTGTGTTTTTTCTCTGGCTGATTACTGTATAGTTTTAATCAAAGTGTGCATAGAGGCCAGGTGTGGTGGCTCACACATGTAATCATAGCACGCTTTGGGAGATTGAGGGGAGAGGATCGCTTGAGGTCAGGAGTTGATACCAGCCTGAGAGAGACTTTGTCTCTACAAAAAAATAGAAGAATTAGCTGTGTGTGACGGTGATCACCTATAGTCCCAGCTATTTGGGAGGCTCAGGCAGGAGGATTGCTTGAGCCCAGGAATTTGAGGTTGCTGTGAGCTAGGCTGATGCCACGGCACTCACTCTAGCCTGGGCAACAAAGCAAGACTCTGTCTCAGAAAAACAAAAAAACAACAACAATAAAAATAGTATGCAAATGTTAGGTATTACTTTAGTGTTTTGGGTAAGCAGAAAAACCCTGATTTGAGATTTCATGTTTGGAATGATTGTTACAGCATTGGGTTGATAAGTAAATTTATGTTTGCAGTTCCTTATCAATCTCCAGCTCTTTAAAATTTATCCATAACCTCCCTATCTCTTCTTTACTCAGGGCCCAGATATTACACTGTCAAAACTATACAAGTTAATTGAAGACTCTTGTCCACAGCTGGCAAATTCAGTACAGATCAGGTAAACTTCATTTTCTTCTGTATATATGAAAAGGTTTCAAGGTAGATGAAAATTTAAAAAGGATATGTGCTAATTCTTTAATAAAAGCTATCTTTATTATTCTAAGTTGTCTCCTAAGTACCTTACTTTTTTAAAAAAATGGATAACATTAAACATACTGTTTTTTAGGTTTTTTTCCACAAAATTTGTTATTCTACTTGATGTATGTCATTCTTTTTAGTTGTTGCAGAGTATGTCATTCTTTTTAGTTGTTGCAGAGTATTCCATTTTTACTGGCTGATGTGATACTTTGGCAAATTTTATGATCAAGAAAACAGCATTGCCGGGTGTGGTGGCTCACGCCTGTAATCCTAGCACTCTGGGAGGCTGAGGCGGGCAGATTGCTCAAGGTCAGGAGTTCGGAACCAGCCTGAGCAAGAGTGATACCCCGTCTTTACTATAAGTAGAAAGAAATTAATTGGCCAACTAATATATATAGAAAAAATTAGCTAGGCATGGTGGTGCATGCCTGTAGTCCCAGCTGCTTGGGAGGCTGAGGCAGGAGGATTGCTTGAGCCCAGGAGTTTGAGGTTGCTGTGAGCTAGGCTGATGCCACGGCACTCATTGTAGCCTGGGCAACAAAGTGAGACTCTGTCTCAAAAAAAAAAAAGAAAGCAGCATTGATAATTTTCAGAAATATGGGAGTAACATTTTGGATTATGAAGTTTGTTTTATGAGCCACCATTTTATACATGTCCGTGAATTGCTTTTAAAATATTAATATATTTATTTTATATAATTGAGGAATATGAAATGAGGGGAGATGTTCTCAGGGCCTTCCTAAAATATACACCTCAAATTTTCTCATTCAGAATCAAACTGATGGCTGAAGGCGAGTTGAAGGATATGGAACAATTTTTTGATGACCTTTCAGATTCTTTTTCTGGAACTGAACCAGAGGTTCACAAAACAAGTGTAGTAGGTATGAAACTCTTCTAAGAAGAGCAGAGAGTATTTTCATTGAAGGGAGGAGCTTTCTAAGTCATATCTATCATTACTTTGCTATATCTGTGAACAAACATAGTGGGGATGTTGGACATGTTGTAGTTTGTGTTTATTGCCTTGACGTTTTGATCTATATTTACATATTTGTGGAAAAGCACCTTCTCTTTTGTCTACAATAGTTAGAGACCAAGGCTGGTCCTGGGGTTTTTAGGGTTTCCCAGCTCTTTCTCACAGTCCTCTGGATCACTTGTCTGCATGGTACAACTGTAAGTGAGGGTCACCAACCAGACTTATGAAGAGAGGTAAGTAAAAATATATTATTGATATGGTATACAAGGTGAGGGCATATGTATTATTTCTTTGATGCTTTTCTGTTAGCTTTGTATCTGCGTTCCATCCATCTGGCTTTTTTGCATGGTAGTTTTTACATTATTCAACATCGGTTATTTCTCAGTCTCCTCCTATGTGCCAGGCTCTCGACTATACAGGATAGACATGGAATTTCCTCTTTTGGAGATTACCTTCTGGTGGGGGGAGTCAGACTGTAAAAGTAAACCAACAAGTAAGATAATTTCAGATAGTTAAAACAGCTAAGAAGAAAGTAAAATGGAGGATTTAGGGATGGAGATGATGGCAGGGTGGGAGGGCTAAGCCTTGAATAAGAGAAGAAAGCAGCTTTGTAAAGGACAGAGGAAGAACATTCCAGGAGGAGGGAGTGGCAACTTCAAGTGCCTCTTTTTGATTCTTTTGAAGGAAGAATTGTGACAAATTAGTCATCACCACGGTGTAGCCTGGATTTCCATTAATGCTTTCACCTTGTCTATGGTCTTATTTTGTAGGTTTATTTCTGCGTCACATGATCTTGGCCTACAGTAAGCTTTCTTTCAGCCAAGTGTTTAAACTGTACACTGCCCTTCAACGGTACTTCCAAAATGGTGAGAAAAAGACAGTAGAAGATGATGATATGGAACTGACCAGTAGAGAGGAGGGCGAAAGAAAAATGGAAAAAGAAGAACTTGATGTATCTGTAAGGTAACTTGGTTTTTCTGGCAGGGATCCTTCTCCTGTGAAACAGTATAATTCTACGTGTGGTAAATCCTCATTTATTCAGCGTTTGTTGGCTGGCTTTGCCATTTTCCCCCTCTGGATCCAGGAAGTTGACTCCTTGTCCTCTCCCTTGTGATTGGCCAGTGGGAGGCATTGGTGGGAAACTGAGAGGGCCAAGGAGAGTGAGGTGAGGGTGTGGATTCACTGGCTCCCTTCCTTCAGGGCCACAGGGAGCTGCCTGTTGGATCATAGCTTCTGTCAAGTGAACCCTTCCACACTCCTCTGGGGATTTGGTAACTCAGAGCAAGTCTTCCAGGCCTGAGCTGTAAAGGTTACCAGCCCTGGGCACTGTATTGTCCATTATGGCTTCTCTAGCCCCTGCTCCTACTTTTGTAAGTGATCTTCTCAAACTCCTCAATTTGAATGTGCCATTTGTTTTGTGCTGAGACCCTGACTAGTAGTATTCATTACATTATAGTGAATTAACAATTGATTAATTCAGTGAAATTTTATTGAATACCTCCTAAGGCTCTGGGAAGGTGGTGCCATTGTTCACCTAGTTATTCAAGCTTGAAACCCAGGACTGTCCTTGGTTCCTTGCTGTCCTTCACCCTAGTCCCTCAGCAGATCCAGTCAGTCCTTCCTCCCCAATATGTTTGGAACTTGTTCACTTCTCTCATCACTACCGCTACCTCCATAGCTGAAGCACCAAATCTCTATCGGATAACTTTACTAGCCTACCTGGTCTCTTTGCCTCCACTCTTGTCTCCTTATGATCTGGTTGTTAGGCAGCATTCAGGGGAACCTTTAAGAATATAAACAGATCACAGCACTCTTCTGCCCCAAACTATCCTTAGAATTTAGAGAGAAATCTGAGCTTACTCAGTGCCTGCATGACCTGGCACCATCATCTTCCCAAGCTCTCTCCCCTTCACTCTCAGCAGTCTAACTGCTCTGGCTTTCTTTCAGTGACTGGATGACTGGAATGTTCTTTTCTGGCTTTTCACCTCATCTATTCCCTTTCACCATTCAGATCTCAGCTCAGATATCTGATGACATCAACCCACGAGGTAGCCGTCTGACTATAAGGTGGCCCCCATCCCAAATACCTTCATTCTGTTTCCTCCATACCTCTCATCACTAAGTAACCTTTTTAATTTACTTGTTTATCTGTTTCTCCTTTTCACCCTTTGAGAGCTAAGACCCTTCTCTGTCTTGTTTCACCACATTTCCCCAATGTTTAGTACAGTCAGAACTCATGGTATGTGTTCTGTGAATGTATGTTGGATGGATGCATGCAGAAAATCAGAATATAAAGTCCGTCACCCAGTGTGGGAACTGGCCCAATAACACTTTTTATTGACTGATCTTCCTTTTGTTGTCTCACTTCCCCACTTCCCAACCACTGTTACCTAGGGATCATTTCCCAAGTAAACAACTGGTACTTACAGGGGAAAAGATATATATATTTCATATTATTCCCTGCTTTCAAGGAGCCTGCAGTCTGGTGAGGAAGACTGACAAACAGATACAGTGTGTTCAGAGCTCTGAGAGAAGTAAGCCCCATTGGGCACAGTGGTTCATGCCTAAAATCCCAGCTACTCGAGAGGCTGAGGTGGGTGGATCAGTTGAGGCCAGGAGTTTGAGACCAGTCTGGGCAATAGTACAAGACCCCATTTCTATAAAAAATAACAAATTAGCCAGATGTGGTGGCACACGCCTCTACTCCCAGCTACTTGGGAGATAGAGGCAGGAGGATAACTTGAGCTTGGGAGTTCAAGGCTGCAGTGATCTATGATTGTGCCATTGTACTCCAGCCCGGGCAAGAGAGCAAGACCCTGTCTCTTAAAACAACAACAACAACAAAATAACAACAACAACAGAAAGCCCAGCTGTCCTAAGTAGGTGTTAGGGCATCTTATCATTTTATTGCATTGAGGATTATTAGGCTGCTGTAAACCCTTAACAGCAGTGTGTGGAGAGTGGTGGGGAGAGACATTGTGTGTAGATGGGAACTTTTCTCACATTTCCTATGAGTGGCCTTTGTACTGTCACGTGATTTGTTCTGTACATGCTGGGAGCAAGAAGATAATAGTACCATTAAGTGCTTCCAAAAACTCATTTCCTTATAGTTACTTACAAATACTTCTTATCTAGTGGAAAGGCAGTTCAGTGTAGGGTTAAGAGTCTGGCTCTGGGTTTGAATATCTGCTCCTCTGCCTATGAGTTCTTCGGTGAGTTCCTCACCATTCTGTGTTTCTAGTTCCTCAGTTGCAAAAAGCCTAAGAGGCTTGTTGTGAGAATTAAATGATAAATTCTTGTAAGGTATTCAGAACTCTGCCTAGTATGTAGTAAATGTTCAATAAATGTTAGCTATTATTATTCCACGGTTGCCATCATGGAAGCCAGAACCAGATTCAGTCTTCATTGATAGTAACTATATTTCCCTTTGTTGGTAGCAATTTTATTTTGTGTGATTCTAATTTTTTCTTTCCATTTTATGAACATTATTGCTTCTATGTCCTTTATTATAAGCTATCTGCAGTCCTTTTTTAGAAGTGGTTTCAGTAAATAAAACATTTAAAAACAGTATCATGATGGGCTTTAAGAAGAGGATAGAGCCAGTAGTAGTGTTTCCAGTTTCATTCAAATTCTCATCTGTCCCTAGTCTTTTTCTTTAACAGCCATATTTATTTCAAACCTTGGACTGCCTTTGTTGAAGGGACATTGTAAGAAAAAAGTTTATTGCCCTAGGCACTTAACTCTTTTCCATTTGTCCACTTGGCCTGTGAATTTATTTTCCATTTCCCTCTAGGTCCTCACTGCATCACTGATCTTTGCTGGGTCTGGGGTGGGCTGGTTCTTGCCTGTGCTCTTTTAGTTGCAGAGTCTGACCCGCTGCCTTGGGGATTATTAGGTAACATTTACCAGAAAGGAAACCGAAGTGCTTTATGTGAACACTGTTACTTCTTAAGAGATGTAAAGAAAAGATTCTTTGGTCAAAATGAGTTTGGTAAATGGTACATCAAACAAAAGTAGGCTGGGCATGGTGGCTCACGCCTGTAATCCTAGCACTCTGGGAGGCCAAGGCAGATGGATCGCTCAAGGTCAGGAGTTCGAAACCAGCCTGAGCAAGAGTGAGACTCCATCTCTACTATAAATAGAAAGAAATTAATTGGCCAACTAAAAAATAAATATATATATAAAATTAGCCAGGCATGGTGGCACATGCCTATAGTCCTAGCTACTTGGGAGGCTGAGGCAGGAGGATTGCTTGAGCCCAGGAGTTTGAGGTTGTTGTGAGCTAGGCTGATGCCACGGCACTCTAGCCTGGGCAACAGAGTGAGACTCTGTCTCAAAAAGAAAAAGAAAAAAAAAAGTAAAAGTTTTTTTTCTATTAGATTTCTCTAATGTATATCATGAATCACCAAACAAGATGGAGAATACAACTTTTCCCAAATTATTTAACTTCAGAAGCTTTTTTTCCCTTTAGAATACCTGTTCACTTATTCATGTGAAACAGTTTGGGAACTGCTGTATTAGGCACAGCCTAGAGAAGCCATTTCTTCAGAGTCATGTGACAAAAAAGTATTTATTATTCATATTTTGCTGTCAATATGAAACTATATTTGTGCAAATGTTGATTTTTCAAGTCTAGATTTATGTCAGTGCGTTTCTTGTGTATTGGTTCTGTGCAATCTAAACTTTAGGCAAATGGTTCTTATGGGAGCCTTTTTTTCCTGCTCTCTAATACATACCATCTTGTAACTGTAGCAAAGAGTTAGAAACTTGTCATTCATTCATTCATTCATTCATTCATTTCTCAAATTCTTGTGCCAGATGTGTGCCAGGGCAGGTACTGAGCATTAGCATACAATGCAGGTGGTACTGGGTACTTGCATAGAAATGCAAGTAAGAACAACCAAGTGTGCTATGATAAGCACATCTCAGAAACTGTGGAGCTCAAATGAGAGCTGTTGGAAAAATTCCTGTAGCATGTGACACCAGAGTTAGTCTTGAATTTTGGGTGGTGTACAGCAGTCCAACAGAGGGTGGGAAAATGGGCACTGCAGGCTGAGGAAGCAGCAGAAGCATCTTGGCATGTATAGAATTCATCAGGGTTGGATTGTAGGTGAGGAAGAGAAGGCAGAGAGGTAGGACCACTCCTGATGCTCTGCGCCTGCCCTGCTAAGCTTCATTCTGCTAGGTGAGGGGTACCCCTGAAGGGGTTTACATCAGGGGAGGCAAGATAGATTGGTATTTTAGAAAGGTCACTTTGGGAGTTGTGTAAAATTTAGGTCTATATCTGTATATAATTATATCATGTGAACTTAGGTCCTTCAACATTTTTTTTTTGCGGAATATTTTATTGTGGTAAAATATACATAACATAAAACTTACCATCTTAACCATTGTAAGTGTACAATGCAATGGCAGTAAGTACCTTCACATAGTTATACAACTATCACCACCATCTAGCTCCATAACTCTTCATCTCATAAAACCTACGCCATTAAACAATAACTCCCTATTCCTCCTTCCCCCCAGCTCCTGGAAACCACCATTCTACTTTCTGTATCTATGATTTTGACTCTTTTAAGTACCTCATATGTGTGGAATCATAACAATATTTGTCTTTTTGTGATTAGCTTATTTCACTTAGCATAAGGTCCTCAAGATCCATCATGTTGTAGTATATGTCAGAGTTTCCTTCCTTTCTAAGGTTGAATATTATTCTGTTGTACTTATATATCACATTTTCTTATCCATCAGTGGACACTTGGATTGCTTTTATGTTTTAGCTATTGTGAATAATGCTGCTGTGAATATGGGCATACACATATCTCTTTAAGACCCTGCTTTCAGTTTTTTTGTTTATATATCCAGAAGTAGAATTGTTGGATCATATAGTGATTCTATTTTTAATTTTTTGCGGTATCACCATACTGTTTTCCACAATGACTCTATTATCTTACATGCCCACCAACATACACAAGGGTTCCAATTTCTCCATACCCTCGCCAACACATTATTTTCTGTTGTTTTGGTAGTAGCCATCCTAAGGAGTGTGAGATGGTATCTCATTGTAGTTTTGATTTGCCTTTCTCTACGGATTAGTGATGTTGAGCATCTTTTCATGTGCACAGTAGCCCTTAGTATATCATCTTTGGAGAACTATCTGTTCAAGTCTTTTGCCCATTTGTAAATTGAGTCGTTGTCTCTTTGTTGTTGAGTTTTAGGAGTTCTCTACAATATTCTGGATATGAATACCTTATTAGATACATGATTTGCAAATATATTTTCCCCCATTCCATGAGTTGCTTTTTTACTCTGTTTATATTATCTTTTTTTTTGTTTTTTAAGAGACAGGGTCTTGCTTTGTCATCTAGGCTGAAGTACAGTGGTGTGATCATAACTCACTGCAACCTTGAATTCCTGGGTTCAAGCTGTCCTCCTGCCTTTGTCTCCCAAGTAGCTGGGACTGCAGACATGTGCCACCATGCCTTGCTAATTTTTAAAAAATTTTTTGTAGATGCTAGGCACGGTGGCTCACGCCTGTAATCCTAGCACTCTGGGAGGCCAAAGTGGGTGGATCGTTTGAGCTCAAGAGTTCGAAACCAACCTGAGCAAGAGCGAGACCCCATCTCTACTATAAATAGAAATAAATTAATTGGCCAACTAATATATATAGAAAAAAATTAGCCGGGCATGGTGGCGCATGCCTGTAGTCCCAGTTACTTGGGAGGCTGAGGCAGAAGGATTGCTAGAGCCCAGGAGTTTGAGGTTGCTGTGAGCTAGGCTGATGCCACAGCATTCACTCTAGCCTGGGCGACAAAGTGAGACTCTGTCTCAAAAAAAATAGAATTTCAAGGTGGTAATAGCAAAGTATTAACCTAATTTGCGGGTCTTCTAAGTGTGGGCCCCTATATGACCATATAGTTCCCATGCCCATGAAGCTGGCACATCTGGAAGGAAATACAAAAGTGGTCTCAAAAAAAAAATTTTTTTTTTTTTTTGTAGAACCAGGGTCTTGCTGTATTGCCAAGGCTGGTCTCAGACTCTTGGGCTCATGCGATCTTACCTCTCCGTTGGTTTCCCAAAGTGCTGTGATTACAAGTGTGAGCCACCTCACCTGGCCCAGATTGTCTTTTGATGTATAAAACTTACAATTTTCATGAAGTCCAATTTGTGTATATTTTGTTGTTGTTGCCTGTGCCTTGTCACGCCAAATCCAATGTTGCGAAGCTTTTACCCTATGTTTTCTTCTAAGAGTTTTATAGTTTCAGGTCTTACATTTAGGTCTTTTATCTCTTTTGAGTTAGTTTTTGTACATCATATTAGATAAGGATCCAGTTTCATTCTTTTGCTTGTGGATTTCTAGTTCTCCCAGCACTGTATATTTAAAATACTGTCTTTTCCCTATTGAATAGTGTTAACAGCGTTGTGAAAAATCATTTGATCACATATATAGGAGGGTTTATTTCTGGGCTCTCTGCATTGGTCTCAACATCACTTTTTAGTAGTCCTTTTTATTAATATTTCTGAGAGAGTTAACTTAAAGTTTTTGAACTTTTCTGATATAAGAGTGGATTTGATTTTTTAAATATTATTTTCACTCTTACATAATTCTTTACTATTTTTTTTTTTTTTCCAGAGAAGAGGAAGTATCTTGCAGTGGGCCTCTGTCCCAGAAACAAGCAGAATTTTTTCTTTCTCAGCAGGTACGTTAATTCTGTATTTAGGCCGGGCGTGGTGGCTCACGCCTGTAATCCTAGCACTCTTGGAGGCCAAGGCGGGAAGATCATTTGAGCTCAGCAGTTTGAGACCAGCCTGGGCAAGAGCGAGACCCCATCTCTACTAAAAATAGAAATAAATTAGCTGACAACTAAAAAATATATAGAAAAAAAATTAGCCAGGCATGGGGGTGTGCATGCTTGTAGTTCCAGCTGCTCAGAAGGCTGAGGGAGAAGGATCACTTGATCCTAGGAGTTTGAGGTTGCTGTGAGCTAGGCTGACACCACGACACTCTAGACTAGGCAACAGAGTGAGACTCTGTCTCAGGAAAAAAAAAAAAGGAAAAGAAAAGTAATCAGGTGATGCTAGTTAGTACATATTTCCATCTGTTTATTGATCATTTCTTTCTACTGAGTTGTCATTTTTAAATTTCAGGCTGCTTTGTTAAAGAATGATGAGACTAAAGCCCTCACTCCAGCTGCCTTGCAGAAAGAATTAAACAACTTGTTGAAATTTAATCCTGATTTTGCTGAAGCGGTGAGTCTTTCCTTGAATTTGCTGAGTTGGAAAGGAATGATAAGGCCACTCTTTATATCAAATAGCCATGCAAATGAAGATTGGTCCATTGGCCCAGGTTCTTAAAAGAAATCATGTTGTTGGCAAGCAAACAACTAAGTGTAGGTTGCAAAGCTCTCCCCACTCTCCCTGGCCATAGAGGATTTCTTCAATCTGTTAATGTTCTCTTCCATTCATCATCTTTCTGATATTGTAAATTACTAACTGGAGATGATAGAGTAGACTTACCAAAAAAAAAAGTTTGGGGGCTGAAAAAATATTTTCCTTTCTCCTTTTTTGTGAATGTTTATTTGTTTTTAAAGTTCTAATAATTCCATTCTTTATTGGCTTTTCTTACTCTGAAAACTTTCTTCATAGGATTATTTTTGGATTTGACATCTGATTTTATCCATGTGTAGACATATATCTATTTTGCTTCTCAGTAACTGGTATTTGAACATTAGGAGGAAAGTTTAATTCAGTGATTTCAAAAAAGAAAAGAAAAGAAAAGAATTACCTTAGTAAACGTCTCACTGTGTTTTAACTTGGACATTTAGAAAAAATAATTTTATAACATATCTGAATCCAGGTTTTAAGATCTTTAATTTTGAACTCTCGGTGTTTCTTAATAATATCTGAACTAGGTGAGGCCTGCTGTCCTCATCTGTCACCCACAGGTCCTAATGTAACTGGTGTCATAGTGGATGTAGGTTTAGGATAAAACTGACACAAATATGAATGAAACTCCTGGTTTTCTTGCGGACTCCCTCCGGGTAGTCGGGAGGAGGACTGTGCCAAACCAATGTGTCTTGAACCTGCCTTAATTTGCCTGTAGGGAAAAGGTTAAGCTAAAACTATGATCCTCTTGTTGGAAGGGTAGAGGACACAGGGTGCTTGCAGCCAGTGGAACTCTGCAGTAGTCTTGCACAAGAGGTAGAGAACATTTAAAATATGTTGATTATTTCTTATTTTAGCATTATCTCAGCTACTTAAACAACCTCCGCGTCCAAGATGTTTTCAGTTCAACACACAGTCTCCTTCATTATTTTGATCGCCTGATTCTTACTGGAGCCGAAAGCAAAAGTAACGGGGAAGAGGGTTATGGCCGGAGCTTGAGATATGCTGCTCTGAACTTGGCGGCCCTGCACTGCCGCTTCGGGCACTAGTAAGTTTATAGACACTTTTGTCTGTGCAGAAATTCAAGAAACTAACTCTCAGAAGTTAAGTGAGATGCATTTAAAAAATAATATATTTTTAAAAAAGGAAGAAGAAAAAGAAGAGACTCTTCAACCTGGACTGGTCAATAACTTCCAAAGAGGCAACCTTTTTGCCCTGGAACGAAAGTTAATGAAAACCGGCTACCTAAATAGTCTGCCCCCTGGTGTCACTATTTAGCATTGCTGTCTTAGTGCCCGCCCTCTTTCATTCCTTCTAAGAACAAAGCCATTCAGTGAAAAGGAAATTAGGTCATTAGGCCAGATAGTCCCTAAAGGATTTTTCAGAGGTAATAATGAGGATGCAAAAGCTATTTTCTGTATTTCAAAAGACATTTGTGCCTTTACTGGATGAAAGTCTACACAGGCTTACTGAAAGTCACATGCTCGCTTTTGGATAGAATTCAGGCAGCTTAGTGAAGTGGTACTGGTTTATTCTGTTGCCTAGATACATCAGTGTTTTTAGTGGATAGAAATAGGAAAACCAATTAATTATTTAGTAAATCGAGTTAAGTATATAAAAAAGTCTTTCAAAACATGGAAGTTATCTTGGAAACTATGAAATGTGAATAATGGTGAAGGTAAGAAATTACTAATTGAAAGAGGCCCCCTCCCCTGGGCTTTTTATGGGTTGAGAGAAATGTCTCTGCTACAGGCATCTGTGAATAGAGGCTCTAGGGTATATTAATGGGAGTGTAATGTCCAAAATTCAAGAACTGAGACTTCTATCCCTTTCTCTGTGGGCCAGGTAATAGCTAGGGAATTCTATTAATTTCTGGTTGTCAGGGTTTAAAAAGGACATAGATAAGCTGGAGTTTGTGTCAGGGACAGTCTCAGGGCGTTGAGACATTCAAAGCCATGCCATATAAATAATGTGGGAAGGATGTGAGAATGTTTGGTCTGGAGAAAAAATAATGCAGCCAAGCATGTGTTTGACATCTTCATGTAGTAAAAGGTCATGAGATAAGGGCTTAGATTGGTCGAAGCTGTGGCTACTAGAGAAGATTGAGACCTGGTAAGTATAAGTTAAAGGGCAAAATATTTTTGTTCATTATAAGGAAGACATTTCCCCTTATAGGATTCTGAGCAAGGGGTCAGTGGAGTGCTTGAGCCTAGACCAGGGATGTCATTAAGGGCATTCAAGCATCAGATTGATAGTTGTGCCCCCAAAATGTTTCAGGCTTCTCCAAAGTCCATGATTTTGTGAGATTCTACAATATCTTGTAATAACTAAGTTCTTTTTGTCTGCCCAGCTTTAATAACCCCTTCCTTGATCAGGGCCTTTCATTTCTTATCTACTCATAAATAATAGCAACACCATTTGTAATATTTTCCAATGAGCTGTTTAAACAATTTAAAAAATGTCCCCCAGGATTTACAAATTTATATACAGCCTTCTAGATACAAATAATATTTATTTATTTTTTTGGAGACAAGACTTTTGCTCTATTGCCCAGTGGCATCATCATAGTTCACTGCAACCTCAAACTCCTGGGCTCAAGCAATCCTCATGCGTCAGCCTCCCGAGTAGCTGGGACTGCAAGTGTGTGTCACCATGCCCGGTTAATTTTTCTATTTTTTGTAGAGACAGTGTGTCTCTTTTGCTCAGACTGGTCTCGAACTCCTGGCTTCAAGCAGTCTTCCCACCTCAGCCTCCCAAAGTGCTAGGATTACAGGCATGAGCTACTGTGCCTAGGCAAGATTTCTTAAAAATATTTGTAGCTATTTGTTGAACATCTGCTGCGTACTGGGCACTATTTTAGGTACTGGGGTTACAGCGGTGAAAAAAAGAGAAAAAACTCCTGTTATGGAGCTTCTAGTGGGGAGAAAGACCATAGAAAATGCTGAAGGTAATTGTTATATGTCATGTAGTGATAGACCGGTGTAAGGGATTTGAGAGTGGTGACGGGGAGTGCCATTGTTTTCATAGGGAACACTTCAGCAGTGTGCACAGATCACTCACTCCCTCGATTTGTAAATCTATTTAAATATTAAGGTAGCAGGTCAACCTTCCTTAATCTCTGCCAACTTAATATTTGAACAGAGATTTAAAGGAAAGAAAATCTCAGAAGTGGGAACCTCAAAATGTTTTAAAACTAGTTTTGAAAAGATAATGGAAGTCACAGTTGTACATAGTAAAAAAAAATTCAAATAATGCAGAAGGGAATGTAATGAAAAGTAAAATATTATATTCTCTCTTTGCCCCTCCCCTCAGCAATGGACAACTAAGATAAACATCTTAGGAGCAGAGATAAAGCCTTTTTGTGCCTTTTAGTAGAAATTCACCTTAGAAGAAGAGACACATCCTATATCTCCACTGTTAATGTTTCTTGCTGCTGGGGTTGGGGTGTGCCTGTGAGAGAACAAGCCCATAAATAGTCCCGACTTCCAACCCAGAGACCTGCCCTCAGAATAATTGTGTACAGATGACTTCCTGCTGCTGTTACTTGTGCATGTTTGTGATTGTTAATGAGATATTAATGTTCAGTCTGTCATTAGTCAACAGGCAGAGCTCGCCCTGCAGGAGGCAATTAGGATTGCCCAGGAGTCCAATGATCACGTGTGTCTCCAGCATTGTTTGGTGAGGCCATCCTCTGGTCTTGGGAGTTTTGCCCATGGGTTCAGTTGGAAGGAAGCCCTTCGGAAGGGTCCCATTTGAATTGGGTTGTTTGCAATTGGAGCAAATGTCTTTGGTGGCAGAGGGAAACTAGTTAGGTGGTCATGGGAATTCAGAAAAGGCAACCAATATTTATTTATTTATTTATCTTTCTTTTTTTTTTTTTTAGAATTTTTTTTGGTTTTTTTGAGACAGAGTCTCACTCTGTTGCCCCTGCTAGAGTGCCGTGGCGTCAGCCTAGTTCACAGCAACCTCACACTCCTAGGCTCAAGTGATCCTTCTGCTTCAGCCTCCCGAGTAGTTGGGATTACAAGCATGTGCCACCATGCCCAGCTAATTTTTTCTATATATTTTAGTTGGCCAATTAATTTCCTTACATTTTTAGTAGAGACGCTGGTGGGGGTCTCGCTCTTGCTCAAGCTGGTTTTGAACTCCTGATCTTGAGTGATCCTCCCGCCTCGGCCTCCCAGAGAGCTAGGATTACAGGCCCATGTGAGCCACCTCGCCCGACCTATTTATCTTTCTTAATTCATGACATCTGTTCTGCTTCTGGGACATTTTTTTTTTTTGTTTTTAATTTTTTTTTATTTTGGCATATTATGGGGGTACAGATTTTAAGGTGGGACATTTCTTATCTACAAAGTTTAATATAGCTTGCCGTGAAAAAAGAGTAAACCTTTAATGATTGCATTTAACATTGGCATTAACAAAAAGATGTATGCTATACTTAGTAACTGGGTGAGATGGTGTCTTGTAAAAGCAGGAGTAGAATCAAGAGCAAAGAGAACACTGAAGCCACTTGACAATCACCTGAGAATCTCTTTCTCCATGATAGGCCATATGGGGGTTTTATGCTTTTTTTCTGAAATACCTGCCACTCACAGCTGTCAGAGGTGAAGCAGATCAGTGGCTTATTTATTTCAGTATGGTTTTAATATGTCTGATAGGTTTCATTTAGGTTCATAATTCATAAGAGTATTTTGGAGGATTTATTTTGTCCCCCTTTTAATTCTTTCTTATAACCACACTGATATTTCCCTAGAACATTAGCCATTACGATCATTATGATGTGTTTCGATGATTTCTTTTGCCAGAGCTGGCTTTATGTACTGGGGCAGAAGAGAGCCGATAGCTATATTCTGCTGGAGCATTCTGTGAAGAAAGCAGTACATTTTGGGTTACCGGTAAGGCTCATCTTTCTGTGAGATTGTTTCCATAAATGGTATTGAGGCTTTATCTTTTTTTCCACCCACCTCTATCATGAACCAATGATAGATTTAGAATGGGTACTTCAATGTGTGGTTTTATTCTCAGTAGTTTCATATGACATTAATTATTAATCAAACCACTAAATTCTATTTGGTAGTTTTCTCTCTGTTCCCTTTATCCTAATATCTGTGGAAGTTCCATTGATCAACTTGATAAGAGATCTTTGCTTAGTTTATTAAGCAACATTAATTTAGCACATATTCTCTTACGCAAATTTTAGGAAAGGCTTGTTTTTAAGCCACAGATTGGCAGACTTTATGGCCTTTGGGCCAAATCCAGCTCTCTGTCTGCTTATGGTCTTCAAGTTAAGAATGGGTTTTAGATTTTTAAATGATTGGGGGAAAAAATCAAAAAGAATATGCAACAGAAACCAAATGTGGCCTGCAGAATCTAAATTATTTTACTCTCTGACCCCATATAGAACAAGTTTGCTGATTTGTTTTAAACAATAAACAAAGCCAGGAACCGGTAAACCTGACAGGCAGATTTGTCCTTTCTAATTTTGAGTGACTGGGCAGGACCTGAATTATAGTCGTCAATGACATATAGTGAGGAGCCTTGAAAGGTCATATCTACACACACGAAGCAGTGATGATGGTTAGAATCTAGATTCCTGTTGCTTTAATAACCTTATTCTCTCAAAAACATCTACTGAAAACTGGAGTATAAGCAGTGTGACAGCTATAAGCATCCTGTCTCAAAGTTTGAGGCAAACTTCAGTAAAATTGAAAGTAATTATGTGTAGTAATTTAACATCCGTGTTTTTAAAATCTATAAATTGTCCATGTGATTCACTTCTGGGAAAGGACACTTAAATGTTCAGAATTGATGGTTATGACAAAAATGGCTCCCTGAAATGAAATGACAGACTTCTTAAGTACACTTTTTGCTATGGACTCAAGCTGACTCTCTTTAGTTGAGCTTTCATCCTTGAAGATTATACCAGGAGTTAATGAAAAGATAACTTTGTTGCTCATGATAAGCATCCTTTTTTGATCTCCTATTACATAATGTGCCCAGCACTGTTTGACATATATTATTTCATTGTAATCCTTTCAACAATTCTTTATGATAGGTTTGATGCCCATTTTACAGATGAGGAAGCTGAGGCATAGCTAAGAAGCTAAGTGACTGGCCCTAAGTCACACAGTAAGTAGCAGAGGCAGTGTTTAAGTCCAGGTCCATCTAATGCCAAAGCCCTGCTGGCTGTTTTCCATGTCCCCTCTGCCTCTCTTCCAGCCCCAGTTATTCAGGAACACATCTCACATGGATCAGGGTTAAGGTCAGGTTGTAGGTACTTTCCTTTTAAATAGTGCTGTCACTGTGCATGTGCTGAAATGTGAAATCCACCACATTTCTGAAGAGCAAACAAATTCTGTCATGTAATCTCTATCTTGGGTCGTGGGTATATCTGTCCCCTTAGTACCTCGCCTCCCTGGGAATACAGTCCCTTGTTCAACAGAGAGCTTTTGCTGGGAAGACGGCAAACAAGCTGATGGATGCCCTAAAGGACTCTGACCTCCTACACTGGAAACACAGCCTGTCGGAGCTCATTGATATCAGCATTGCACAGAAAACGGCCATCTGGAGGCTGTACGGCCGCAGGTAGGTCTTCAAGCAGATTGCCAAGGCCGTGAGGGGTGCATCCTTCAGAGATAAGCAGGAACTAGCAAACTGCTTCTGTGAAAGGCCACACAGACGAGGTTTCCCCTCAACTTTGGTAGAAATTGTTCATGCAGGGGGTTAGACAGAATGTTTTATAGTGTAAAAACATTTTTGTGTTTTGCAGTGACTTTGCAAAATTTTTCCCCATGCATGTTCTTACTTACCCCTCTCAGCTCCTCTGTGAGGTAACTGATGGGTGATCTCCATTATCCGATGAGTAAACCAAGGTTCACTTGATCTTAATCTACCCAAGACCACAAATGTAGTTAACAAGTGCCAGAGCCAGTACTCAAACACCAGGTCATCTGACTCCCAGCACGGTGCTCCTCTGCTCTGAGACAGGAACATCTCTTCCTGTTCGCAGGAGGTGTGGTCCATGGTCGCTTTAGTAAAGCATCCCCTGAACCCCAGAGCTGTTCTGTGAAGAAAGTTGCTTTTGTGTTAACTAAGGTGTTTTTTCTGGATTATTGCCAGCTTCATGTTTACTTTTCCATTTAGCTAACTTTAGCTTGGGAGTAAACTTGTGAAGCAGATTTTAATCCTGGAGCCCTGTTGCTACCTCACCCCTCATCTAGACAAGCTACTCTTTCTAGGAATTCAGTAAGGAAAGGAAGTGACTATTTTACCAGTCTTGTTTTTGTATTTCAGATAATTTTTTGGCACGGTGTGCTCTGAGACAGCTGCAGACACTGGCCACTGCTTACATTGCCAGAGCAGCCGGTGCCAGGATGGCATCGGGTCTGAATTTACCCGTGAAAACTAATTAACATACTGTGACCACAGGGAAAATTGGGGTGGGCTGGGGATGGGGTGGGGGATTTGAGAGCTTAGAGCTTCCAGTTGTGCTGTAACCAACGTATGTCTCCTTTGGGGCTGCACGTCAGGATGCTTTTTCACTCTCCTGGTCCTGAGGGCAGCATCGCTGGCATTGGTAGGCAGCTGCTCTCACAAAGCCAGGGCCTGCAGAGGGGTTTAGCTTCCTTGCGTTTCCACTCAAGATAACTGATGGGTGTGGCTAAGGGGCAGCCTGGGTCTACTGACTGAAGGAAAATCCTGTCCCCTCTCCTCACCCAGCACCATGGCACTGCAGCAAGCCCAGATGCTGCTGAGCATGAACAGCCTGGACTCGGTGAACGCAGGCGTGCAGCAGAACAACACCGAGTCATTTGCCGTCGCACTCTGCCACCTTGCAGAGCTACACGCGGAGCAGGTAGGCAGGTGGACGGGCCTTAACACATGATAAGGCAGCCTTATCATGAGTCTCCAATTACTCTAATTTCCTTTGTGTCTGTTTTTCCAACTGTCCTCCATATGAACTGGGTGCTGTCCTTTGCTTTGTGGTATGGCTCTGGTTGGGTCTTGGGTAAGCCTATAAGAAGTCATGGAGCTCTGAACAGCTTTCTGATCTCCTTTCTGCAAGTCAGAGGAAGTGGAGTGAGCCTTTTATCCTAAGATTGCTAGTCCCTTTGCTCTCTCTGCATGACTCCGCTTCATCTTGTATCATTCCTCTTACAGCCTCAGGAATGGCAGGTCACAATGGGAATGTTTTTGGAGGATACTGCAGTGTGTCCACTGTTCTTTCTACTTGGTCTGAAGGTTTGACAACCCACCTAGATCCATATGCCCAAACCCTTATGGCAGTCGTGAAACTAATTGGCAAGACTAGCCAGTTAAGATCACAGGAATAAGAAGATAAATGGGTGAGGTGTGGTGGCTCACGCCTGTAATCCTAGCACTGTGGGAGGCCAAGGCAGGAGAATTGCTTGAGCTCACGAGTTTGAGACCAGCCTGAGCAAGAGCAAGACCCCGTCTCTACTATAAATAGAAAGAAATTAGCCAAAACAATTAAAAATAGAAAAAATTAGCTGGGCATGGTGGTGTGTGTCTGTAGTCCCAGCTACCTTGGAGGCTGAGGTAGGAGGATCGCTTGAGCCCAGAAGTTTGAGGTTGCTGTGAGCTAGGCAGATGCCGTGGCACTCTAGCCCAGGCAAGAGAGTGAGACTCTGTTCAAAAAAAAAAGAAGATAAATGATCTTTTATTGTAATTCAATGTAATTTCCATTTACTTCAAACGTTCATTTGCAGTCTAACTGAACTTCTATAAAAACAAAAAGTACATTACCTTATGAAGGATTGAAACAAATTGAAAAGCTTTTGGGGTCAGTAAGATAAAGATAAACATCCCAACAATATAAGAGTGTAAAAAAGACATGAATGTATTCACAGAAAAAGCAGAAATTACCCCAAAACATGAAAAATTTTAGTCTAGTCATTAAAATTAAATGTAAAGCAGTTAAAATACTAGTTTTACCAATCAAATAGGCAAAGATGTACTAGGGGAGGAGAGGAGCAAAGAATGCTGATATAAAAGTACTTGATACATTTCTAGAGGGTAATTTAGCAATATATCTCAAAGAGCTTAAAAGTGCCCACCATTTCTATTAGTACTTCTAAGATTTTATCTCAAGAAAATAACTGGACAGGTATGCGAAGCTATATGCACCAAGGTAATCACTGTATCATTTTTTAATGGAAAAAATTAGAAACAACCAAAATATCCAAAACTAGCAGACTGTTTTGATGTACCATAATTTATTTACCTAATCAAATGACTATATAGATTTCTATTTATTGGCATTGGAAAGATTGATTCATTTAAAAGCTATTTATTGAGTGCTCATTTTTAGTGCTGTAAGACATTTATAAAAACAGTATATATACCTGTTTTGGAATATTTGTATATTTTATATTTATGTCTATAAAAGAATCCTAGAAAGAGATATGCCAAAACATTAACTGAGATTACCTTTGGTGGGATTAAAAGTAATTTGTCTTTTCTTATTGTTTACGTGTATTTTGTAAGTTTTTTTCTAGAATGAGTGTGTCTTGTGTAATTTTCAAAACTTAAAAAAAATAGGCCAGGCGCGGTGGCTCACGCCTGTAATCCTAGCACTCTGGGAGGCCGAGGCAGGTGGATAGCTCCAGGTCAGGAGTTCGAAACCAGCCTGAGCAAGAGCAAGACCCCATCTTTACTATAAATAGAAAGAAATTAATTGGCCAACTAATATATATAGAAAAAATTAGCCTGGCATGGTGGCGCATGCCTGTAGTCCCAGCTACGGTTGGAGGCTGGAGGCAGGAGGATTGCTTGAGCCAGGAGTTTGAGGTTGCTGTGAGCTAGGCTGATGCCATGGCACTCACTGTAGCCTGGGCAACAAAGTGAGACTCTGTCTCAAAAAAAAAACCCAAAACTTATTAGAACCTTTAAAAAGCCCTTTGAAATTTGGCAGATGCTGCCTAGTGTCTTTCAGGTTGCTGCATTAAGAACAGATGAATCTGGCCGGGCGCGGTGGCTCACGCCTGTAATTCTAGCTCTCTGGGAGGCCGAGGCAGGCGTATTGCTCGGGGTCAGGAGTTCAAAACCAGCCTGAGCAAGAGCGAGACCCCGTCTCTACTATAAAGAAATAATTACAACTGATGACTAACCGTATATATATAAAAAATTACGGCCATGTGGCCATGCCTGTAGTCCCAGCTACTCGGGGAGCTGAGGCAGTAGGATCGCTTGAGCCAGGGAGTTTGAGGTTGCTGTGAGCTAGGCTGAGGCGGACGCAACACTCAGCCTGGACCAACAAAAGACTCTGTCTCAAAAAAAAAAAAAAAAAAAGAACAGATGAATCCCAATCCCATTAACATCCCGTGTATGGTGCAGCAGGTGTGGTTTCAACACAGGTTGTACTAATCAAATTGTGTCTATTTAAAGGGCTGTTTCGCTGCAGCTTCTGAGGTGTTAAAGCACTTGAAGGAACGATTTCCCCCTTATACTCAGCATGCCCAGGTAACCTGCCTTTTGTGTGGCATTGGATTTATTTCTGATAAGAATGTTTTTTATTATAATGTAAAGTGGGATATTTTAGAGTCTCAGAAAAATTGTATTGAGCTAAAAGGGAACTTGTCAGAGATTGCATATATGATATTACTTGTTTATACATAGTTTAAAAACATACAAGCTCATACTACACATTGTTTATGGGCCAATATATATGTTGTAAAAGTATTGAAAACGTGAATGGGAATGATAAATACCAAATTGAGTGCCTACTTTGGAAGAGATTGAATTTGCAAAAGACTTCAGTGTTATCTAATAGTATCTTAAGCAAATAAAGCAAAATGCAAGTTGGTTGTTGGTACACATCTGTCTTTTATTCTCTTTTATTCTCTTCTCCACATACTTGAAATATTTAAAAATTTATTTAATCTCAAAAAAAAGAATGTGAATTGTTGTACAGATATTTGCTAAACAAGCCAAAATACTTTTACAATCCTATTCAATAACAAGGTGAACATTTGCCATTTTGTACTTAATTGGTTTTTTTCTTATTATAATAGTTATGGATGCTGTGTGATCAAAAAATACAATTTGACAGAGCAATGAATGATGGCAAATATCATTTGGCTGATTCACTGGTTACAGGAATCACAGCTCTTAATGGCATAGAGGGTGTATATAGGTAAGAAACTTTGGAAACTTCAACCCCAGAATAAAATGATTTTTAAATGGCTTTGTTTTCATTAGTTTTGTGTGTGCATTAATTTATTTACTTTAGCTTAGAGAAACCTTTTTCTATTATAGGAAATAAAATACAGATAAACAAAATGAATAAAATAAGTATCACCCAGAGATAATCACTAACATGCTATTCATTAAAACATATATAATTCCAGATGTTTTTCTTATATGCATATGTGCATATACATATACATGCTTACATATACACATTCATATACACTTTTCTTTTTTTTTTTTTTTTTGGAGATAGAGTCTCGCTTTGTTGCCCAGTCTAGAGTGCCATGGTGTCAGCCTAGCTCACAGCAACCTCAAACTCCTGGGCTCAAGAGATCCTCCTGCCTCAGCCTCCCGAGTAGCTGGGACTACAGGCATGTGCCATTATGCCCAGCTAATTTTTTCTATATATATTAGTTGGCCAATTCACTTCTTTCTATTTATAGTAGAAACGGGTCTTGCTCTTGCTCAGGCTGCTTTTGAACTCCTGACCTCGAGCAATCTGTCGGCCTCGGCCTCCCAGAGTGCTAGGATTACAGGTGTGAGCCACCGCGTCCGGCCGATATACACTTTTTTTTCTATAACAAAAATTAAATCAGGCACAATTTTTCCCCTTGGGAGGTTTATGGTCTAATTGAGAAAATAGAAATTCTTATCCCAAAAGTGACTATAGTTAAAATAGTTGGAAAACATCACCATAACCATTTGTCCTTATCTTGATTCTATTTCAGAAAAGCAGTTGTACTACAAGCTCAGAACCAAATGTCAGAGGCACATAAGCTTTTACAAAAATTGTTGACTTATTGTCAGAAATTGAAGAATACAGAAATGGTGATTAGGTAAGGGGTCTCTCTTGTACCTCCTGGAGATGTGGTGGTGGGTATTCTCATCCCATCTTTTCCTTTGTGTTGTCAGTGTCCTGCTGTCAGTGGCAGAGCTATACTGGCGATCTTCCTCCCCTACCATCGCGATGCCTGTGCTCCTACATGCTCTGGCCCTCTCCAAGGAGTACCGTTTGCAGTACTTGGCCTCTGAAACAGTGCTGAACTTGGCTTTTGCCCAGGTAAGCTGATCTCTGTTTTTATAGCACATATTTGTGCTGAAGAACTGGTGAGTCTATTACCACTTTTTTGGTATTGAAAAGGATAATAATGAACTTTCACTTGTTAATATTGAAATCTGGAAAGGCAGTTTCCTTGTGCAAGCCCTCTAAGGAAGCCTGTGGAGTTGTGAACCTAGTGACAAGCTGACACGTCCCAGTGACACTGGCTTTCTGAGCTGTGTGTTTAGTAAGGGGACTTGTCTCTTCAGTGAGGACACTTGCATCATATTAATGATTAGCTAGCATAGAGCGATTGATGCTTGATTTAGCAACAAGAGGGCATGAATAAAGAAATTGGGGCCAGGTGTGGTGGCTCATGTCTATACTCCCAGCACTTTGGGAAGCCAGGGTGGGACGATCACTTGAGGCCAGGAGTCCAAAGTTGCAGGGAGCTATGGTCATGCCATTGCACTCCACCTTGGGTAACACAGTAAGACCCAGTCTCTTTAAAAAAAGAAAAAAGAAAAAAAAAGAAATGAGATGTTTATTGGAAGTTTTTTTTTTTTTTTTTGGACAGAGTCTCGCTTTGTTGCCCAGGTTAGAGGTGAGTGCCATGGTGTCGCCAGCTCACAGCAACCTAACACTCTGGGCTCCAAGTGATCCTGCTGCCTCAGCCCTCCCAAGTAGCTGGGATATAGGCATGCGCTACCATGCCCGGCTAATTTTTCTTACATATAATATTAGTTGGCCAATTAATTTCTTTCATTTATAGTAGAGACGGGGTCTCGCTCTTGCTCAGGCTGGTTTCAAACCCCTGACCTCGAGCAGTCTGCCCGCCTTGGCCTCCCAGAGTGCTAGGATTACAGGCGTGAGCCACCGCGCCCGGCCTATTGGAAGTTTTTGGAAATCAAATTGTGTTTTATGTTTGTTTTCTTTCTCCTCTAGTAAAGGCCACAAAGGAAGGGACTCTATTTAATTCTAGCTGTAATCCGTGGTACCTCGTAGGACCTACACATAGTAGACTTTGAATTTTGAACCCGCTGAAGAAATACATTAACTCAAGCAGAAGTTTTCCAAACTGTACATTAGAATTATTTGGGAGATTTAAAAAATATCTTCATACCTGGCCTTGCTTCTGACCCACAAGTCAGAATCTCTAGGGGTGGAGCCCAGAAATCTGTTCCTTACCAACTTACTCAGTGATTCTTTTTTTTCTTGAGAAAATTTATATAACAAGATTTACCATTTTATTTTTTTATTTATTTTATTTTATTTTTTTTTTTTTTGAGACAGAGTCTCGCTTTCTTGCCTAGGCTAGAGTGAGTGCCGTGGCGTCAGCCTAGCTCACACACAACCTCAACTCCTGGGCTCAAGTGATCCTCCTGCCTCGAGATTTACCATTTTAAAGTGTACAAAAAAAAAAAAAAAAAAAAAAAAATTATGAAAAGCAGTTTTAAGAATTTGGACAATGTTAGTTGCGCAAATCAATTATCTGACTGATCTTAATTGGCGAAGTATTTTCATTACCTAAAAAATGAAACTCTGTACGCGATGAGCTGTCACGTCCCGCCTAGTTCCTCCCTCTTCGCTCCTTGGCACCTCCCCTCTAATGCTTTCTTTTTTTTTTCCTTTTTTTTCTTTTCTTTTCTTTTTTTGAGACAGAGTCTCACTCTGTTGCCCGGGCTAGAGTGCCGTGGCATAAGCGTAGCTCACAGCAACCTCAAACTGCTGGGCTCAAGCAATCCTGCCTCAGCCTCCCAAGTAGCTGGGACTACAGGCATGCGCCACCATGCCTGGCTAATTTATTCTATATATTGTTAGTTGGCCTATTAATTTCTTTCTATTTTTAGTAGAGACAGTGATCTCGCTCTTGCTCAGGCTGGTTTTGAACTCCTGACCTTGAGCGATCTGCCTGCCTCGGCCTCCGAGAGTGCTAGGATTACAGGCGTGAGCCACCACACCTGGCCTCTAATGCTTTCTGTTTCTGAGTTTGCCTATTCTGGACATATCATCTAAATGGAATCATGCAGTATGTGGCCTTTTTTGACTGGTTTCTTTCACTTGGCATAAAGTTTTTACATGGTAGCATGTATCTGCTTCACTCCTTTTGATGGCTGAATAATATTGCAGTGTTATAGATATACCACATTTTGTTTATCCAACAGATGATGGATGTTTGGGTTGTTTCCACTTTTTGGTTATTATGAATAGCTGCTCTTAACATTTCTGTACACATTTATCCTTTCTGTACTATTTATCTTTATGCCAGTATCATATTGTTTTGATTACTGTAGCTTTGTAGTAAGTTTTGAAATCAGAAGTGAGAGAGTCTTCTAACTTTGTTCAAGATGTTTTGGCTATTTTGGGTCCTTTGCAATTCCATATTAATTTTAGAATCAGCTTGTTCACTTCTACAAGAAAGGGAGTTGGAACTTTGATAGGAGTAACATTTGAATCTGTAGGTGAATTTACAGAGTATTGCCAGATGTGATTTTTTTTGTTGTTTTGTTTTTTGGAGATAGGAGTCTCGGTTTGGTGTGCCCAGGCTAGGAGTGAGTGCCCTGGCGTCAGCCGTAGCTCACAGCAACCCAAGAGCTCTGGCTTAAGCGAATCCTTGCCCGCCTCAGGGCCTCGCCGAAGTAGCTGAGGACTATGGGCATGTGTGCCATCCATATGCTCGTGGCTAATTTTGGTCGTACTATATATTAGGTTGGGCCATTAATTTCTTGTCTAGTTTATAGTAGAGACAGGGTCCTCACTCTGGCGCTCAGGCTGTTGTTGGCTCCTGACAGCGTTGGAGGATCCTCCCACCTCGGCCCCATCCCAGAGTGCTAGTAAGTGACAGGCGTGAGGCCACCAGGCCAGGCCAGATCGTGATATTAAGTCTTCCAATCCGGATTGAACACAGGACATCTTGTGTTAGTGTTTTAGGTCGTTAATCTTTGTTCAACAGTGTTTTGTAAGTTTTCCCATGGTACAGGTCTTTCACTCTTGGTTAAATTTATTCGCGTATCGTATGTTATTCTTTTTGATGCTTATTATAAATCAAATTTTTAAAGAATTTTCATTTTGAGAGTCTGTTACATTGCTGAGGGCGACTCGGGCGGGTCTCACTTTCTTGGCCCAGGCTAGAGGTGGAGTGGCCATGGGCGTCAGCGGTGGCCTAGCCCACAGCAACCTCAAGACTCCTGGGCTCAAGCCAATACCTCTGCCTCAGCGGGCCTCCCAAGGAGCGTGGGACTACAGGCATGCGCCACCGATGCCCGGCTAGATTTGTCTCTATCAGGTAGTTTTTTAGTTGGGTCAGTTAATGTTCTTTCTAGTTGATTATAGTAGGAGACGATGGGGTTCTTAGCCTCGAGGCTGGTTTCGAACTCCTGACCTCGAGCAATCTGCCCGTCCCGGCCTCCCAGAGTGTTAGGATTACAGGCATGAGCCACCTCACCCACCCTAAGAGTGTACATCTTGTCTTGTTCCTGATCTTAGGGGGAAAGCTTTCAGTGTTAGGCTAGCTGTGGGTTTTTCATATATGTCCTTTATTATGTTGAAGAAGTTTTTTCTATTCCTAGTTCATTGAGTGTTTTCAATCATGAAAGAATATTGGATTTATAAAATGTTTTTCTCTATCAATTGCGATGATCACACGAGTTTTTTTCCTTCTTTTTATTCATGGTTTATTAATATTATTATTACTATTTTGAGACAGAGTCTTGCTCTGTTGCCCGGGCTAGAGTGCTGTGGTATCAGCCTAGCTCACAGCAACCTCAGGCTCCTGGGCTCAAGCAATCTTCTGCCTCAGACTCCGAGTGCTGGCTCTACAGGGACGTGCCACCATGCCTGGCTAATTTTTCTATATATTTTTAGTTGGCCAGTTAATTTCTTTCTATTTTTAGTGGAAGACAGGGTCTTGTTCTGCTCAGGCTGGTTTTGAACTCCTCACTTTGAGGATCCACCTGCCTCGGCCTCCCAGTGAGCTAGGATTACAGGTGTGAGCCACCACGCCCGGCCCCTTTTATTCATGATGTCATTTACATATACATTCTTATATTGAGCTACTTTGTTTCCTGCAATAAATCCCATGTAGTCAGGTGTATGTCCTTTTATATACTGCTGGATTTTTTGCTATTTTGTTGAGATTTTTGTGTCTATCTTCATAAAAGATATGGATCTATAGTTTTCTTATGTTATTTTTTTTGCTTTAGTTAGCTAAAGCCAAATGTGTGGCCAATGGCTTCAGTTTTCCTAATGGGTAACTAAATGGCTTCATTTGCTTTAGTTACCTAATGTTGGTAATGGTCTCACAAAATGAGTTAGAAAGTGTTCCCCCCTCCTCTGTTTTTTTGGAAGAGTTTGAGAAGGATGTGTTAATTCTTTATAAATTTGGTTGAATTCACCAGTGAAGCAGTCTGGTCCTGGGCTTTTCTTTGTTGGGAGTTTTTTTGGTTACTGATTTGATTGTTTTTTTTTTTTGAGATGGGGTCTTGCTTTGTTGCCGGGACTAGAGTTCGGTGGCCTCATCATAGCTCACTGTAGCTTTAAACTGCTGGACCTAAGTGATCCTCCTGCCTCAGCCTCCTCCTTCTGAGTAGCTGGGACTATAGATTTTGCCACCACACCTAGCTAATTTTTCTATTCTTTTTTGTAGAGATAGAGTCTTGCTACGTTGCTCAGGCTGGTCTCAAACTCCTGGGCTCAAGCGATCCTCCCACTTCAGCCTCCTGAGTAGCTGGGACTGCACGTGTGCACCACCACGCCTGTCCCCAAGTGATTTCTTACCTATCTAGTTCAGCCCCTCAGAATCACTAGTCTAAAGGATATTAATGTGAATTTTTTTCTAAAAACAAAAAATTTTCCATAGTGAATAACCTTTCCCTACTTTGTCTGTCATAGTGGGAAATCATACTGTTACATATTGTATTTTCTATGAGTCTGATGCCTGTTTTAATGTAGAACATGTCAGGGATAAGCCCGAGATAGCTATTCAGGAGAGACCTGCCAGAAATGAAGCCCTTCCTGGTTGTGGGCAGTGGGTTCAGGTGTGTTCAGTGCCATGATGTTTCTTTTTCAGCTCATTCTCGGAATCCCAGAACAGGCCTTAAGTTTTCTCCACATGGCCATTGAGCCCATCTTGGCTGATGGGGCTATCCTGGACAAAGGCCGCGCCATGTTCCTAGTGGCCAAGTGCCAGGTGGCTTCGGCAGCTTCCTATGATCCACCAAAGAAAGCAGAAGGTAGGAAGCTATACAAAGATTGTAAGGTGATACTATTCCTAAATATGCTGAAGGTTAGGACCCAGAAGAAAAAAAGACATTAAATTTGGGACATTATTTACCTTCTGAGTATTCACAAACATGTCAAAATTTCATGTAGCACTTTCGCATGCATGCTTGGCAGGAGGGTTGAAGATGAATAGTTATTTTAACCCCAGAAAGCCAGGTGCCAGGCTAGAAGTTGGGACTAAAGACCTTTTTTAAAACTTCACCCTAATGTTTGTTTCCCCTCAAAAAATGGAGAATGTAAAAGCATTTGGTATATATTAAACAAATGAAATTAGATACCATGTTTTGAAAACTATACAGGAAGTGTTGAATTAATGTATGGGGTGTTTTCTTCATTTTCCATAAGCTCTGGAGGCTGCCATTGAGAACCTCAATGAAGCAAAGAACTATTTTGCAAAGGTTGACTGCAGAGAGCGGATCAGGGATGTTGTTTACTTCCAGGCCAGACTCTACCACACCCTGGGGAAGACTCAGGAGAGGAACCGGTGTGCAATGCTCTTCCGGCAGCTGCATCAGGAGCTGCCCTCTCATGGGGTGCCCTTGATAAACCATCTCTAAAAAGGACATCCCTGCTGGGTCACTGTATGGAGTATAAAATTTTGGACTTGTTCATGCCCCTTCCTCGATGTATATGATGTATTTGTAAGACCCTGTCTTGTCAATAAACTTCATTGTGATTAGTTTGTCTTATTTTGTTGCTAGTAAGTACATCATTGTTTTATCCCCCTTTTCTTTCCTTTTGGTAGTGAGGACCTCACCTTTTTGTTGATAAATGGTTGTTTTGCTAACAAGTGCCTGAGATTATGTTTTCTCTGGGCAGAATGGCCAGTATCTTTATTAGAAATTTTATTAGAAATCATGCATACTCCATCATTATGTAAATTTGTTTAGCTTATGTGCTCAGACAAAAGAACTCTTTTGGGAATTGGTAGATCTCTCTGAGCAGGTCAGTGCAGGTTTTTAATGAGGCTTCAATTTTCCTTTTGAAGCTTCCCTGTTTGTTGGGCTGAACCAGTGCTTGTGGTGCCTGGAGGTGCTCACAAATACATGGTGGTCCCTGACTGGAGATTAGAGAGAATATTTTTTTTTGTGTTTTTTTTGACTGATGACAAGAAGCATATTTCATTCCCTTTTAGGTGTTGGATTTTTTTTAATGCCTTCTGCATGGGAATGTTTTTTTCTATATTTAAGTATACAAATTAAGTCTATTAAGGAATTCACCATCAATAAATCGATTATGTTTTTTTTTTGGTAACTTTATTTTTATTTTTATTTATTTATTATTTATTTATTTTTTGAGACAGAGTCTCGCTTTGTTGTCCAGGCTAGAGTGATGGCCATGTCAGCCTGGCTCACAGCAACCTCAAACTCCTGGGCTCAAGTGGATCCTCCTGCCTCAGGCTCCCGAGTAGCTGGACTACAGGCATCGCCACCATGCCCGGCTAATTTTTTGTATATATTTTTAGTTGGCCCATTAATTTCTTTCTTTTAGTAGAGATGGGTCTCACTCTTGCTCAGGCTGGTTTCGAAATCCTGAACTCGAGCAATCCGCCCACCTCGGCCTCCCAGAGAGCTAGGATTACAGGCGTGAGCCACTGCGCCCGGCCTATTTTTATTTTTGAGACAGAGTCTCACTTTGTTGCCCAGGCTAGAGTGAGTGCTGTGGTGTCAGCCTATCTCACAGCAACCTCAATCTCCTGGCTAAGCAATCTTAACTGCCTCAGCCTCCCGAGTGCTGGGACTATGGCATGCACCACCATGCCCGCTAATTTTTTATATATATTTTTAGTTGGTCAATTAATTCTTTTCTATTTTTAGTGGAGACGAGGTGTCGCTCAGGCTGGTTTCAAACTCCTGACCTTGAGCAATCTGCCTGCTTCAGCCTCCCAGAGTTCTAGGATTACAGGCGTGAGCCACCATGCCCGGCCAATAAGGTGATTATAAATTCAGAAAGAGTCTAAAGCTCAGAGGTGTATGGATGCTATCACCAAATATACAATATGTATATTTACGTTTCCCAACTCTACGATTAAGCAGAAACCAGTTATTTCTTTGTTCATGAATTTTTTGTCCTTTAGTGTTCACAGAAAGATGCCTGTTTCAAGTCCAAAGCAGCAGCTGTACCCAAACAACCCTTTATAAAGCGACAAGGAGCCAAACAAATTTTGCAGCTTCTGTCATTGGCTCTTTCTCTGTTAAATTTAAACTTTCTAATGGAAATAATTTCTCTCCAGAGCTCTTTGAAGCAGTGTAAAACAACTTCTATCCATTGCGGAATGTTTGCTGGTCAAAGACAGCTGCTCTGGAAACAACAGACTCTGTAGAGATAGAGACACTGATTGGTATGTTGGTGTTTAAAAGTATTTCCTTAAATTTATTGAAGGGTTATATATGTAGATGGTGAAAATTAAATAACATTAAAGGCTATGAAGTAAAAAGTAATTCTTCCTTCTAGGAAGTAACTACTATTATCTTTTTATTCTTTCAAATATGTTTTCTCATCTGATGTCACTTTTGACCAACATATTTTGTTTTTGAGACAGAGTCTCACTTTTTTACCCAGGCTAGAGTGAGTGCCGTGGCATCAGCCTGGCTCACAGCAACCTCAATCTCCTGAGCTCAGTGATCCTCCTGCCTCAGCCTTCCAAGAGCTGGGACTACAGGCATGCACCACCATGCCCAGCTAATTTTTTGTATATATATATTTTTAGTTGGTCAATTTCTTTCTATTTTTGGTAGAGACAGGGTCTTGCTCAGGCTGGTTTCGAACTCCTGAGCTCGAGCAATCTGCCTGCCTTGGCCTCCCAGAGTGTTAGGATTATAGGCGTGAGCCACTGCGCCCGGCCTTGGCCAACATATTTAAAGTAAAATCCTTCCAATCTCATAAGTGGCCTTAACCACTGTGCCTCAGCAGAAGATCCCAGAGATGGGGCCAGGTTGTTCAGCTGACCCTACAGGTATCAACATAAAAGCCAGAAATCATTAAGCCTGACCAGGACCAACTATGGAGATTGTGGGGCCCAGAGAAAAGTAAAAATGTGTGGCCTCTACTAAGAAATAATAAAGAATTTCCAAAGGGCAACAGCAGAGCCTTAAACCAAGTACAAGGCCCTTCTGAGCCCAGAGGCCTGCACAGTTTGCACACCCAAGAAACCAGCCTGCCTGACCCTGCTCAGCTGGCTGCACACCCACATGAGCAGGGAGGAAGGGCCAGAATCTAAACCTAATAGAAGGGGTCAGGGTCCCCTGCCATCTGTGACTTAGATTTGTTGGCTGGGGCCTGTCTCCTCCGGGAAGGAAGTTGGGGTTCAACTGGAGTTGAATGGAAAGTGAAGACATCAGAGTGACCCCAAAACTCAGAACTAACTGGGTGACAACTGGCTTTTTTCCTGGTGAAGCATTTGGTGAGGGAAGAGTCAGTAATTATATAATGGTGCATTTATGGGTGGCTTAATATAAGGGTGTATGGATTGACTGTCTGGGAAATGGGAAAGGGGTTAGATAAACAGGGAGTTGAAGCTTATTAGTCAGTGGGCATTCGGGTCTACACCAGAGACCTTCAGGATATATCCTCAAAGGAGGAGAAAAGAAAGGTGCTCTGACCCAAGCAGCATGGTGGGATCTCTTCTCAGCAATTTTGGTGTTCAGTAATCAGAGCCCTGGAGTGGATGGGAATCTTCACGACAATCCTAAGAGGTAGGCAATAGTGTTAATTCCATGGAACAGATGAAGACACTGAGGCATAAGGATATCAAGTCACTTGTCCGAGGTCACAGCTAGTAGGTTGTGGAGCTGAGTCTGTGCCCAGAGTTTTGGAAAGTACTGTCCTGTTTTTATGAACATTCTTTTTTTTTTTTTTTTTTTTGAGACAGAGTCTCACTCTGTTGCCCAGGCTAGAGTTATGTGACGTCAGCCTAGCTCACAGCAACCTCAAACTCCTGGACTGAAGCAATCCTTCTGCCTCAGCCTCCCCAGTAGCTGGGACTACATGCATGCGCCACCATGCCCGGCTAATTTTTTCTATATATTTTTAGTCGGCCAATTAATTTCTTTCTATTTATAGTAGAGATGGGGGTCTCGCTGTTGCTCAGGCTGGTTTCGAACTCCTGACCCTGAGTGATCCACCTGCCTCGGCTTCCCAGAGTGCTAGGATTATAGGCATGAGCCACCACGCCCGGCCTATGAACATTCTTTTTCAGTTTCTTGAACACATTTGATCATATCAGTTGTCATTTATCTGGTGTCCAATATGGGGCAGACACTGCTAAGTGCTTGCACACATGCCATCTCATGCTTGTGAGCTAAACAGCCCTATTTCACAGGTGAGGAAACCAGGCCCTAGAGGTTGGGCCTGACCCAGCCCCCATGCCGGCAAGTACCGGAACCAGGATTCAGCCCCAGGTGTGAGGGTTCCACCACCCACGTTCTTTGTCTCATCCCCATGTTGCCTTTGTAGTCACCTCTGTACCCTGAGTATTTCTACTTGGTCAGAGTGTTTTGAATTTTGTTCTGACAGTTTTGGGTAGTTATGCTGTCCTGTTTCCCTTTCTGGAAGATGTGTGCTGAGACAGATAAACAGTTTCCTCATTTGTGACCCCTGACAATATCTTTTATGATGATGTTTACATTTGGGAATAAGAAACCTATTAATCTTGCTGCCTGTTGAAAGGAAGTTTCCCAAGGTCTTTTTCTTTCTTTCTTTCCTTTTTTTTTTTTTTTGACAGCATTTTCTTTTCTTTCTTTCTCTGTTTATTTTTTAGAAATGGGGTCTCACTATATTGCCCAGGCCTCCTCAGGCTCCCCAGTAGTTGGGACTACAGGCATGCGCCACCATGCCTGGCCTGACAGCATTTTTCTACTGTCCTGTTGAATGGGAAAGAATTCAATGGATAAAGTACATCAGTGTGATTAATCCTGCTGTTTGTGTCTAGATGTTCAAGGTTTGGGAGATGGAACATTCCAGTGAGCAACATGAGTAGAACACAGTTCAGAAAGGAAAAACAAAACCTCGGCAAGAGATTAGGAAGCCGTCCTAGTGGGTGAGATAATTTTAAAGTGTTACTTTTCAGTTCCCTCCCTGGTACTGTTCAAGTTTTCTTTAAAAATAAGATTCAGATGCTTTGTTTACTTATTTCACTGGCAATCTGTTGTCAGGACAACAAGATCTGTTTGCCTAGAATAGGGTTTTCTGGTATTCTTGGAAGAAAAAACCCAAAAGCAAAGCTAATTCTTTTATTTTCCTAAGAAGAAAATGGTTTCCTTGAGTGGGATGGTTCTTATCCTAAGAATTATAATGACAGGCAATTTGATGTTTCTGCTTTGTTCTAATTCACTTTAATAGGAAAGGCACATAAATTGATGGGGCTTTAAGCTCTGTGCTAAGTATTTTAATAGTTAGCATTATTGAGCACTTACATGCCAGGCACTGAGCTAAGATCTTTACACACATTATTGAATTTAAACCTCATGCCAAACCTGTGAGCAAGGTACTATTATTATCCCCAGTTGACAGCTGATGAAACCCAACTGGAAGAGATCAAGGCACTTGCCCAAGACCACAGAGCTGGTAACTAGGAAAACTAGGATTTGAACTAAGTCTGTCTGACTCCAGAGTCACTGATTTCAACCACTATCTGGAAAGTATGCAAATGTTTCTGATGGGGTACCTACCTTGACCCCAGAAATTTATAGCTCTACTGGCAAATATAATGCACGTGTGAAAAAGGAAAGAATGGCCGGGTGTAGTGGCTCTCGCCTGTAATCCTAGCACTCTGGGAGGCCGAGGCGGGAGGATTGCTTGAGGTCAGGAGTTCGAAACCAGCTCTGAGTAAGAGCGAGACCCCATCTCTACTATAAAGAGAAAGAAATTAATTGGCCAACTAACATATATATATATATGTGTGTGTGTATATATATATTTATAATTAGCCGGGCATGGTGGCACATGCCTGTAGTCCCAGCTACATCGGGAGGCTAAGGCAGAAGGATCGCTTGAGCCCAGGAGTTTGAGGTTGCTGTGAGCTAGGCTGATGCCACAGCACTCACTCTAGCCTGGGCAACAAAGCGAGACTCTGTCTCAAAAAAAAAAAAGAAAAAGGAAAGAATAAAGAAGATACAGTGGTTGAGCATTAATACATGGTACTGTGCTTGCTTTAGATCAGAGAGAGGAGAGGTTGGAGGGCCTAGGTTACATCATTTTAGGAAACTTCCAGGAAGAAGTGACTCTTGGGCTAGGGTTTACATTTGTATTGGCATTTCCTAACCCATCTTATTTAATTGGCTTTTAAGCATACACAGCTGTATGTATATCTAAGTTTAGCTGCAGTGTCCTAATCAAACATAGGCAATTTAGTAACATGATGTAAATACACAGAATTGTGTATTTTAACAAGTAACAGGAAAAGACACCAATACCTATTTTGGTTACCTTAGTAAAGCAGAGTTGCCAAACTGTTTATTGCCCATGGGCCAAATCTTTCAGAGCCTACTAAGAATGGTTTTTACATTTTTATATGGTTGAAGAAAAACCAAAATAGTAATATTTTGTGACATATGAAAATTATAGGAAATTCAACATTCAGTGTCTGTAAATAAAGTTTTATTGGAACATTACCACGTGCATTCATTTACTGTTGTCTGTGGTAGAGCTAAGTAGTCACAACAGAGAGTGTATGGCCAGCAAAGCCTAAAATAGTTACTATGTGGCCCTTTACAGAAAAAGTTTGCTGACCTCTGCCTTACAGTTATAAATGCCCCAAATGTTCCCCCCTGCCCTAATACATATTTTGGAGGGAGAAAATGTAAAAATATAGAAAAATACAGAACTATGCATCCACCATTGAGAATTGACAGTTGTTAACATTTTACCATTTGCCTCATATACATTTCTAAGTACTAGAAGAATAAAACATTACAACGTTCCTCATGCTCTCTGTCCTGTTCTCCATCGATACTTCCTTCTTTCTGACAGACTGTCATGAATTGAATGTGTATCCTTCCCCGTGTCCATGAACAGTTTATACTGTGTGGGATTTAAAAATGCACACAAATTGTGCATCATAACGTATCATGCAACTTGCTCTTTGAGTCAACAGTATGTTTTTGGGATTTCCTCATGTCAATCCAGTAGATCTAATAAAGTCCTTTTAACTATTGGATGGTATTTCCGTCAAATGACTGAGTTTTAATTATCTGTCCTCTGCTGGACATTTAGGAGGCTCTCAGGTTTTGCTATTACCAACATATGCATGCACGTTGAGTAACATCAGAAGGGGTGGTCATTTCGTTGGATCCCTCCCACTTGTTTGGGAATGCCCCCTGCAGGCTGGGAATACCAGAGGTGCACTTCGGAAGGGCCTGGAAATCCACCCAATTGACAAAAGGGCTTTGAACCTTTAATTGACTTGGTGCTTGACTCTCAACTCTTCCCTTTTGGCTGCTTGTCAGGGTCAGTGGGACATCCCCTGGGCCACTTTCAGTCCAGTTCTGGGTTGTCCGACCCCCAGGACGGTTCAGGGAGCCCTTGAGGTCTTCTCCTTTTCCCTTTTCCCCAGTGCTGTTACCCATTGGGAAACCTAACACACAACATTTTTAATGCTCCAACACAGTAGGGTGCCAAGAGGGGGGAGAATGTGATGTATTTCACAAAAAGCATCTGAGTACCCGTCTGGAAGAGCCAGAACTTCAATGGGTTTCGTGCAGTTTGGTGCATCCAGGTTGACTGGGGATGGGAGAGGACCTGCTTCCCGCTAGTGGCCCATGGGGGGGAGGGCGGCTGCGGAAGGGGGTTCCTCCGAAGGGGTGGTCACCCGAAATCCAGGCCGCATCCACCGCCAGGCGCCTAGTGCTGGGGCAGCAGCCGGGATGCGAGGCGGGACCCCGGGTCTCCCGCCGGTATGGGGAACTTTCCGAGACTGAGCCGCCGCCCTGCAGTCCCCACATTTAGCTAAACAAAGCGAGCGCTGCCCGCGCGGCCCGCCCGCGCGAGGGTGCCGCGGCCGCCGCCGGGAGAACCCGGGCAGGTGCGCGCCGGGCAAAGTTCCCGCCCCGCCGTCCGCGCCGCCCGCGGACTCCGACCCCCGCCGGCCGGGCCTCCTTCCCCGCCTCCGCGCCTCCTGCCCTCGCTTCTCCTTTCGCTCCGCCGCTACTTTCGTCTCCGCAGGCGCCCGCCCCTCTCCTCCGCTCCCGGGCGCGGGGCCGAGCCGGCGGGGGCGCGCGGCGGGGGCGCGCAGCTCCGCGCCCGGGTTTCCAGCGGCCGCGGCCAATCCCCGCGCAGCCCGAGGCGGCGTCGCGCCCGAACCCGGGCCGGGCTGCTCCTCCCGCCTCCGCCCCCCGCGCGCCCGCCCGGGCCGCGGAGAGGAGCGCGCGGCCGGGCGGAGCGAGCCGAGCCGAGCCGAGCTGGGGGCGCAGAGCGCGGGAGGCGGCGGCGCGGAGCCCAGGTGAGCTGGCGTTAGCCGGGCCAGGGGCGGGGGACGCAGCTGCCGCTGCCCGGGGCGCCCTCACCCTCTCCCTCTCGGGGCGGGGGACTACCGCTGGGACCGCATACAAAGCCCAGAGGCTGGCCTGGGGTTCCCTCCTCCGAGGGACCCCACGTGCACCGCCCCACGCCCCGCCACGTGGATGACGCGGTCCCCGGCATCCTTTCCCCAGTGTCCGCGGGCGCCCAGGGCCGCGGGGTGGCCTCCTAGGCTGGGCCGCGCCCTGTCCTGGCGGCTGGGACAGTCGTGGAGTTTGGAACCGATGTCACCGGGGTCTGGGGCCGCCCAGGATCGTGGAGGCGGCCTAAGGCCCACACCCTCGCGTTTGGCAGGTGGGGAAACCTGGAGCGCTCAGGGTAAGACAGGGCCAGCGGACTTTGAGCACCGCCACCCCGCAGCCTGCTTGTTTTAGGGTACATCCAGGCCTTGGACACCAGGTGGCAGGACCCTAGACCAGCAGTTGTGGGGACCTGGGGGACCTCTGCCTTTCCTCAGCCTGCCCTTTGACCACCCCCGCCGCTCCTCTCAGGCTTGGTTCTTCTGACCTAAATTTACCTCAGGCTTCAGCATGCTTGAATGCAGAGAGGTGTCCGCCTGACTCTCTGGGTGCTGGGCCCAGCCTCTCTTAACGCTGGGTCTTGGTGTCTGGGGTGCCCCCAGATCCAGCCTCGAGCTTTTCCTGGCTCCCCCCAGCCCTTGCACTGCCCGGTTTGGGAAGCGGGTGTTTTCACAGCTCTGCCAGTTGCCGCCTGGGCTGCTCTCACCTGGTGCTGAAGAGCTCGCACCTCAGCCCCTCTGATCTCCTCAGAAGGTTGAGGTGTAGGGATGTAGCTTGGGGAGGGAGTGCATCTCAGTGCCCTCACCAAGGGAGGGGCACCCTGGTTGGGGGTGAGACATGCAGCATCCATCTCCCTAGAGGCAACTTTTGCCTTCCTCGGCCTGGTGTTTGGAGTCCCCACAGTCCTAGAGATAGAAACTTCACGTGCCCCAGAGCTGTGCTGTCATTTACCACTGCCCCTCCCCTGGCTCTGCCCCCAGAGGAGAGAGAGGAGCTTTCTGTTCCCTTAAGCGCCTTTGTTCCTTGGAGGAGGCAGGGGCTGCAACAAGGGTAGGGCTTTGAAGGAGTTAGCCTGCCTCTTCCCAAACCACCCCACAGAAACATGCAATTTCAGAATAAACAGTGTGCATGCTGTGGAAGTACAGCTTTAGGGTGAGCCCCAGACCCCCCCTTCCAGATTTGCAGCTCATAAACCCTTGCTATATAGAGAAAGCAGGCATTTGCGATGAGGCCCCACAGCGTATTTTTGTAGCAAGGAATAATAGCCATTGTTTGATGAGCCCCTACCTTGGATAATAATAATGTTAACAACTAACATCTCTTGAGTTCTTGCTATGTGCCAAATCCTGCGCTATGTGTTGCATGTATTATATCATTTCATGCTTACCAGAATCCTACAAGGCAGGGATTTTTATCCCCATTGTAGAAATTAGGAGATTGAGGTTTACAGCAATACTACAGTGTTACCAGGATTTAGTCCCATTTTATAGAAGGGCTCAGAAAAGTTAAGTAACTTGCCCAGGGTCACACAGCCAGTTCAGGCATATCACGCCTAAGAGCCTTTGTGCTTTACCACCTGCTCTAGAGCAGGGGCCCTTGCAAGGCCGCCTTCAGCTTCTCGAAGAGCCCAGATTTTTTACTAAGTCAACATATGAAGACGCAGATTAAGCAGGCTCTATAGTAATGCCAATGCTTAGGCTTGTCTTTGCTCCAGGTTGTTAGTGGGATGGTAGCCAAATATATTCATTAATAACTATGCATTAGTTCCCATTCAGGGTGGTCCCTCCCTCCTGGCAAGCGTTTGGAAAAGTATGGGGGCGACTTTTGGTTATCAAGTGATGCTAAGCACTCCTGGCTTTTAGTGGGCAGGAGCCGGGAGAGCCAAATGTCCTGTAAGCGGGCCAGTGCCACCACATGAAGAATGCCCCTGCCCTGGATGCCAGTAGTGCCCCTGTTGAGAAACACCACAAAGAATAAGTGCTGTGGAAATGGAGGGAGCAGAGGGCAATGAGGATTTGGAGAAATCTCTTTTGACTGGTGTGCAGCTGAGAGGCTTCCTGAAGGAGGAGTCGTTGGTGCTGAGTCCTGAACATGGGACAGAGATTGGACATTGGATGGGAGTGGGAGGGGAAGGGGGTGGGATGAGATGACCTAGCTGAGGGAGCTTTGTACGGTTACCGGGTTTGCTCCTTGTGAACCTCAGCCTTGGTGGAAGATGGAGTGGCTAGCCTGCTCTCTCTTGGGGAAGGGCTGGGCTGGGTGGGGCAGGCTAAGCCTGTTTTCAAGGCATTCTGGCTCCAGCTTTAACATGGACCACAGAGTCAGCCTTACCCTACCGTGAACTCATTTTATGGAAGGGCTCAGATAGGCTGAGTAACTTGATCAGGGTCACCTGCGACCCTCTTCCCTGCCTGGCACACCTTCTGGTGGCTGGGGGAAGCATATGGTTCCCATTTCCTGCCCTGATCCTGAGGATTTGGGGCAAATGCTATTTCAGATTTTCCTTTGAGTCAGAGGGCCTGGTATTGCTATTTTTCTCAGATATTTTGCTTTCCCACCAGCTCCTCCCCTTCGTTTGGGGTTAGAGAACCTGGATGTGGGGTTCTGGCCGGCCGGCTCCATGGTACTGCAGTGGCCTCACCCTCGCATCTGTGCCTCTTTCCTGGAAGTTGAGAAAATTGCATTTTCCCCTTGGAAATTGACCTTTCAGGCTGTGCTAGTTACTTTACTGACCTGTTGGTAGAGATTCATAAGGTTGGCTTTGCTTTGCTTTGCTTTGCTTTGCTTTTCTTGATTGAGGTGAAATTCACAGAATATAAACTTAATCGTTACACTTCTGTAACATTTAGTACATTCACAGTGTGGGGCCACTATTACCTCGGTCTAGTTCCAGGACATTTATCACTCCAGAAGGAGTGATAAAATGTTGTGGCATGTGTCAGTGCTTCATTCCTTTCTGTGGCCAATGTTAATATCATTCCATTGTTTGGATGGACCACATTTTGTTATCCATTCATCCACTGATGGACATTTGGGTTGTTCCCACCGTAAGGTGTCTTACGGTTACTTTGTCCAGTTCTGTGTCTTAGTAAACTTCTGGTTGTAAGACATTGTTTTGTCACTCCATTTGCAGGGAGAGGGTGACAGGAGACAGGTTTCATGAAATCACCTGGGGACCAGCTTCCTGGAACGAGGTTTTTGGGACTCCCTTCATTGTACCCTCACCTGCCCCTGCACAAGAGTCATAGCTCCCCTTTCAAGCCCGCTGCCTCGCAGCTCCACTCGTGGTTCTTACATTTGTGATTTTTCAGGGACAGTCTAGATTTTATTCGATCCCATTCATTTCAGTCACTATGATTTGTTAAATGTAGATCCTCTTGTGATTTTATATTGGCATATGTTTTGTGAGCCTTTTTCCAGGTAAGTAAACCCACAAAGTAGAGAAAAACCTCACCAGACAGACGGTACCATGACCCTGTGGCCACGAGTGGAGTCAGCCCAGTCTCTCCTGACAGCTTCGCCAGGAATGCCTACCATGGGAGCAGAAATCGGAAGCTGAGCTAGGAGGAAGCCTAGCAGAGATCAGCTCCTCGCCCCCTCCCGTTTTACAGATGGGGGAAGTGGAGTGCAGAACAGGAGGGAGGACATGGTCTTTTTGCAACATTCACTGTGTGCCGAGCTGTGTGCTGGGTACTTACTTTCATATAGAAGATTGACTCTGTAGCCACCCTCTACGTAGGTCCGGGTGGCTCCATTTTACAGACGAGAAAATGAAGGCCCAAGGTCCCCTGGGGTCTGTATATCCTCCTCATGTACCTTCTAATCCTGAGCTCTCATTCCTCCCTTGGCCGTCTTCTGGCAAATGATGTCCATTTTCTTGAGGCATGGAGTCCAACTTCCCTAGGAGGTTATGGTTTGAAAATAATGTTCAATTGGTGTTGCTCTCTGAAAAGTAAGATTTGAGTTATTACTCTTTTCTTTCTTCCCTGATTGGACACTTTTCCTCAATAAGACCAATATTTCAGAAAAGACATCTTTAAAATGAGTTAAGTGCTATTAGGTTTCATAGGGAAGACCTCTGGCTCCTGCATGGCCCTCCAGGGATGTTAGTGATCCAAGTGGGAAAGGGATTATTTTAGCTGCCAGTTTTTCCAGATTCGGTCGTGTTTGTAGTATTGCTGCTGAATTTTTTTTTTTTTCAGTTATGAAACATTTTAAACATAGAGAAAAGCCAAAGTTTTGTTTTGCTTTGTTTTTTGGACTGGCTTGTTTTTTGGAAAGCTGGAAGGGAGCCCAGGAGGTGACGGAAACACGGCAGAGTGGGGCGCTCTGTCTCTGGAACCTCCGTCATTCACTCAACCCACTCTTTTTTGTGGGGGGACGGTGGCTGGTGACAAGCCCTGCCCTGGGGAACTGAGGAACACTGGGACTTGGTCCCTGTTTCCAAAGGGCTTCCAGGTGTCTGTGCACTGTTGGGTAGCCCTCTGGAAAAGATGCACAATTCCAGCATCATCTCCCTTTTGCAAAGGAGAGAAAGAAAATTAGAAGATTCTGTTGTGCCCCTACCCCCACCCTATCCTGAAAGCTGCTGCGCAACTATTTTTATGTTGCCTCTTTTTATCCTGGTGGCTTCTGTAAATAGTTGAGAGATGGCAGTTGCAGAGATAAAAATGCTAATTCCACCCTGGAAAGGAGAGATGGATGGTCCCCTGAGGAAATGGTGGTGGGAGTCGTGGGGGAGGCTGAGGTCTTGGGCATAAGGTAGGAACCCAGTGGGTGGGGAAGGGACATTTGAGTGGTGCCTGAGATAAGCTTCTGTTAGAGAAGTTTAAATGGGGAACCAGTGGTTTGTGGGGGCCAGGGTGCAAGAAGGAGGCCACATTCCTTTTTTTGTTCTTTAAAGGTGCATTGGGATACTGCCTTCAAGGCCTCTGGCAGAGGAAGACTTTATTTAGGTTCTTCCAAGAAAATTCTCTTGCCCTCTGGGTCCAGCTGTTGGGCCAGGGTGGGCCTGAAGAGCTGGCTCTCAGTGTCCTTCTTGTTGGAGGTTGGTGAGGGAAGGAACTAGATTTAGCATTACCTCCAAAAGGCAGGGGAGAGGGAGGGAAGGGGGCGTGGGTGGGCAAGGCACGGATGCCTGTGGGTTCCGAACTGGCCCCCTGTAGCTCTGATTTGCCCAGCGGCAGGATGTTGGGGTAGAAGTCTTTTTCTTTTCATTATAAACTTAAATTCTAGTTTCTTTCCAGCCTCTTCCTTCAGTTCTGTCAAAGATTG